AAAATATGTTTGTATACAGCAAACAGCATTTTCATAACTGAAAAGGCAGATTAAACTGCCCTGTCATCTGCAAAACCACAGCTAACTCAGCAGCATTCTCCTCATGTTGCTGTGCAGCTAAATCCTAATAATCCTAATAAAATAACTTGTTGACTACTAATTGCTCGACTAAGGGACATAACTAATTGACTAAACAACCAAAGGAGTAGTTTATATATTTAGTTTTCGACTGAAAAATTTATTTTATTTCCAGCATGTATAGTATAGTAGCATGGTGCTTGCTTAGGTTTCGAAATACACATTTCTCTAATATTTTACAAAGATGTGAGTCTAGTCACCGATGCATCTCTCTGATGGGTGTGACTGACGCATGATCTGTCCGTAATGGAAAAAATAAAGGAAAAAATTCAGATTTCTCCAGAATCAGTGAGCGAAGCACTAAACTCTGTTAATCTGAGGAATAAATTTGGCTTAAATGACAAGGACTATGATCATAGATGATCATATGACCAGAGATGAGCTCCTTCATTTCACATACATTACTGAAAACAAACAAATCTGATTGGATGATCACGTTTGGCCAGGCTTGAGATGTGTCTGAGGGCGTGGGTACCAGACTGAATAAATAATACAGAGATATCATTATGGATTTACCAGGCAAGTACGAATGAAAAGATCTACTGCTACATTTAAGAGTTACAGTTAAGAATATTTGTGATTTCTTTGTTTTATCTATTGCCCATATATACCATATGTGAATACACTGTACACTAATATAGTAATTGAAGTATTTTACAGAGCAGCAGAGCAGCTGCACTGCTTCACAGTGAGATGGACGTGTGCACTCAGAGTGCCAGGATTGCACTCTGTGTCTCAGTCTGTGTCTGGTGCCTTTAATACAGCCTTAGGAGATTTACTGAGATGCTTCTGAGGCAAAGAGGTATAATGTGACACAACACGGCCCTATAACCCCAGGACATTCAACAATGTTTAGCACAGACCCATTTATCCGCACGATTGGCAGATATATTGCTTTCCTCCCATCTCACGGACAAGATTTCAATAAAGTCGTACAGTAAATCAGAGCTGAATTTAATCTCTATTGGCTTTAGAGTATAGGCCTAAATTTAGACAAACCTGGACAAAAGAGTCATGGTGTGTGCGCTATTTTTCTATATTCATCAAGAAAGCACAGAGCATAAAAATATATTTTGAAAAGTAAATACACGAAAGCTGTAAGCTACTGTAACATGTAGCTGTGGTGGAGTGAGTCAGCCTGAGTCTATGGAAACGCTTCCCAAGACTCCCAGTTTTACACAGAAAAATAGGGTGTGTTAAGGGGACACAATGATGGAATGTGAATGTCAGCGCTCTTTTTATTTACTCTCCATAAAAAACACTGAGCAGTAATTAACAGAAGGTATCCTCCCCAGCCCAAGGGTAATTGACTGTTTCAAACCACCAACCCTCCATAAGCTCTGTGTCCCGATGTCCCGTGTGTGTTTGGATGTGCCAGTGTATTAAAACCTACTCCTCAATATCCCCCCTCCTCCTCCTCCCCTCCCCATCCTCCCACTGTGGATAAGGGTCAGCAGCGGTGGGCACAGCCAGTCAAACGCTTCAGATTTCTTTACGAGCACATTAACATTCAGCCAGATTCATTAACAGTAAGTGAAGTAGTGGACAAAACAGAGACACGCAGTCCCTGTGAAACTGGACGCAAGCAGAAGAGGGAATTTGAACCCTACCTTAAGAGGACGCAAGCCAGTTTACTTTGAGTGCTGCTCCAAAGCCTGGATGAATAAGGTGTAAGACAACAGAATTAAATAGGAATACATCAGCAAAACTGATCTTAATAGCCTCTCTGACCATGACCAATAATACATCCATGCTTAAATATACACTGAGGCAAGGTAGCTGAAGTGTCTTGCTCAAGGACACACGATGGAAAGCATGACATCTCTGCCTAGGCCTGTCATGATAACAAATGTTGAAACCCATTATATTGCTACAGAGAAATAATGCAATAAATGATAATGTTGAAATTACTTAATGTAAATGACACAAACCAATTTTTAAATAGATATTATCATTAAAAGACATGAGCTCCAACAAATAAATGGCTGAATGAACCTATAATTAGCCATAGAAGTTATTTATTCTATGCTCTATAGCTAAAATCTTGCTATATTACATAAAGATGGCAAAATCTCCAAATTATTGTGAAGAAATTGTACCCTATTGTACCCCTATATGTACCCCTACTATAAATACTAAGCCTAAAAACTTATAGTTCCAGCTTTGATATACTGAACGATCGATATAGTTGACATAGCTATTATTTTGACATACCTCTGCCAAATTAGGACTATTTTTTAGGACTGCTTTTTTGATTTTTATGTAGTTCATCAGAATCGGCACATAAAGTTAATGAGAGGTAGTTAGCCTCATAATTGTCAGACTTGCTTAATTGTGCTTTAGAGCTTTATTACATGTTAATTGGCTGGACTCTGAACAACAAGCAGCTGGTGTACAAACAACACCATGTTTACAAAAGGTGGTTTCACAAGAACAGCTCCTCTGAGACTAGACACTGAGACTGGCAATCAAGTTAATTAATGTTAATTAGCATGTTAACCGGAACAGGGTCTGTAACTGGCAAACACAGCGTGGCCTTTGCTGTTTATCTGGCTGTTTGCCACAAAAAACAGAAATAAATCAGTTACTAATCTTCATCCCTAGCAAGAAGAAGAATCGAACATGAACATGTAAAAACCTATTAGATATTGTTGTTACAAAAATGCACAGTTGTAAAATATAACAGAAACAACTAATAAAACTTTGAATTAACCAATTCTACGAGTATAGAAAGTGTCAGTCCTCAGTGTGGTGAGGATGGGACTATACCATAGACATGTTTTTCTCTATCAGTTTTCAGTCCTCCTTCTCTTTGGGAGTCGCAGCCTCTCTGTGTTGAGGAACTGTTCGATTTTGGAGATCTGCTCCCTGAAGGACGACTGCTGCTCCTCTGTGTCCTGGGAGCAACTGGGGCCCCACTGAGTCTCTGGGCTTCCACTGGCATTAGGAGAGAGAGTCCTGCTCAAAAAGACAAAACAAAGCTGCACTATGGAACTTTTCTGGTTGAAATGTTTCGCACTGTAAGGTATTAAACTTGCATTTATTTACATTTACATTTATTTCTACAAAACATTCCTGAGCGAAATGTTTGTATCCAGGGAAATAGATAAGTTTATTGCCATTAAGCAAAGCAACACACTTTATGAAGACAAGCAAGTGGTTGGGTTGACCCTCCACCAGTTATAACTTTAAATGACACAGGACTATGATTTAAACCATTCTTAATGACCATGTGGTACTCTCTAACAATTCAAAAGATATTTTAACAAAACTTATTTTGATTAACACATGTGTATTTTTCTAACCTGATCTGTGTCTGTGGCCTGCTGACGAAGCCTGAGGAGGTCGGCATCAACGAGGAGGCTTCAGACAGTGTAACTCCGTCCTGCACAGGGATGACATTAAGTATTCAGTAGTTTAACAGCAATGCAAATAAGTACTTTTTTAAAATTATTTTAAAAATGAAAATGGCCATTCAACTGCTACATAAACAAGTTTCCTTTCTCCAAATAAGCAAAAAACATGTAAAGCTGCCACAACTTAGTTAATATAAACAACAGTAACATATTATATAAATAGCTTTTGCACAACACTACAGCAGATATAAATCTGAACTTTGTGTGACCCTTCCAGAGTTACATATAAACCAAGCACAATTTTTATATTTTTTTATTTTTTTTACTAACTATTTAGCATTTTATCTCCTTCAATTGCTGGCACCTGGTTTCCATTAGACGCACAGGGACATTTTGCGGTGATGGTGACAAAAAGGCAGGAGAGTGAAACAGAAGTGAAGCAGAGTGCAGACCTTTGCGGACGCGCTGTGAACAGGGGACAGATGATGAAGTGAGCGAGTGCACAGAGGGAGAAGACAGAGTGAGTGAGAGAGAAGAGGTACCCAGGCGTCATCAGCCCCATTCTTCTGCACAGGTCATTCATCGTGTCTCCACAACTGTCTGCAGAACATGCACTGTACACAAGCTCAGCAGGCACTAGCTGTATCCATCATTCATCACTTAATATGAACTAGAAATTTCTGAAACTCTCAAATATGCTTGCATTGACCTGGACAATACCTAAACTTTTTTAAAGGTCCTATATTACACAAAATGGATTCTTGTGAACAGTCTGTAGTCTGTCTGCATCTCCAAAGCTCTGTTACACCTTGTGATGCCATGTAGCTTTCAGGTTAACAGCTACCTTTTATCTTTAGTTCAGTAGAAAGTGGCAGTTCTAGGGATGAAATTCATCCAGTATTATCACATGGTGGAGTGTTTTCTATTTGAGAGAAGAACTCAGCCTAAATATGCAGGGTTTGTGCATTAAACATATGCGAAAGAAACAAAACACAACTGCAGGTATGTTTTTGATGAGGAAAAAACGTAGATCAGAAAATGTACAATATGGGCCTTTTATGCTATTTGGAAGTCATTTCAATAGATTGTATGGGAACTTGTCTGTTTTACATAAAAGTTATATACATTAGGCTTTAGAGTAAATTACCCTTGAGGCTCACCAAGCCACAGTGTGCAGGATGATGTAGCTCAGGATCTGTGGAACTGAAAATGACCTCAAACCAATTTGTTTGACAAAGACAATACTATGCACTGCATCAGCATGAGAAAGAGTATACTTATCGTGTGCTGTATTACACAAAATTGACCCTTGTGAGCTGTGTTATAATGTCGTTACATACCTGGAGTTGTGTTTTGTTTCATTCACACATGTTTGAGTAATCCTTTATTATCATTATAAATCTTTTTTTTTTTTTTTTTTTTTTGAATTTAAAATCTATAATGTTAAATGAGGTTTAATAGATGTTTCTTTATATTGATCCTTTATAGCCTGATTTTCAGTCTTGTTTAAAACTATACAACACATTCAAAACAATACAAATGCAGTGATACAGAGAAAGACAGAACATGCTTTTGGACAGACCATTTGCGCTGCTGCTATGTCCCTGTGGGCTTCTCCAAAAGCCGTCCACTCGGTCTGCTGGGGTCTCCTGGAGGAAGCAGAAGTCCCACAGGCACTGGAGGCACTCAACAGGTCTGTCGCCCTCGTAATCGTCAGGGGGGCTAAGAAAGATGAGGTGAGACGGTAACAAATCCACCCATATTAAAATGTATTATTATTTCCTGTATGAACTGGCCAAAGATGATTTAACTGCCCTGGAACAACATTTTTACAACCCAAAAATAAATTAAATAATATTACAGGAAATCTTACCTTTGCCGTGTTCGCCTTTATGGAACATGGAAAGTGTGTTCGGAGAATTACCAATGTAGCCACTAGTATATGACATTTGGGATGTCTGTAGCATAACAAAGAACAGTTTTATGTGTGAACAGAAGTAGTTATTGTAATTAGGCCTGTCACAATAATTAATATATCGACTTATCGTTCAATATATGAAAGCTGGAACAATATATTTTGGGGCTCAGTATTTATCCTGTGTACAATTTCAGATTTTTGCAATTTTTACATAATACATTACTTCTGTAGCTAATTATTAGTTAATTAGTTATTTATTTGTTGCAGTTCATGCGCTTTAAGGATACATAGACTGTATATCTAAATGGACATAGTTAACTCGCTGGCTGCCATATTCCATATAGGAAATGTTCATAGGGGTGCTTTTGGCTAGCCAGGCTGGTGCCACCTAGTGCCTCCGCTCAATTTCATTTCTCTCCAGTGACTAGATCAGAAATCAGAAAACACTAGACGGTCTGCAAGAACCCCGGAAATGCGAGTCCGGGCACCAGCTAATCAGCAAGGGCCATTCCCGAGATCAATGATTTAAAGCCGAAACAAAGAGAATGTTTGGTGAATTTTATTAAGGGGAAAGACGTTATTGCCCTTCTTCCTACAGGATTTGGGAAAAGCTTAATATACCAGTTAGCCCCATTAGCGGTGCATTACATATGTCACGACTAAACAGCAGCGATTGGCTAAATAAAAAAAGTACTCGCCTACCGTCAAGCAAACAAATTCTAATGCTGCAAGGTCAGACATTTTCCAAGAAGTGAAACCGACTAATGAATCAGGCTAGCTTTCGGCTCCTTCAATTCTGTTTCCAATTGACTTTACATTGGGAAACTGTCACCTCTCTCTCTGTGACTGCTGCAGAGAGCTTCATCATATTGGTCTTAAAATTTTGTCCAAAAAATGAGCATCATTCGACTTGATCTGAACGCTATAGGTGAGGTCAAACTCTCTTAGTCCATTCCTTTATGTAGTAGTCTATGAGATTATCCTGTTTTGTGTCAGAGGCATGAAGTTGTTTTAATATTATCGTTTGTCGTGATATTTTTCTGTAGCAACATATTGTGCTTCAAACTTTGCTATGGTGACAGGCCTAATTGTAAATAATGATTAAAACATCATGGTACTTACATTACAAAGAACTCTGTGAGCTGATGTGTCAGACTTGGCAATGTATGTCTGTGCTTTTCTCTGCGCAGAGCCCCATTTGAACAACGGTTTGTATGTGGTCTTGAAGGGTGCAGCAAATTCATCTATCATTTTTGCTTCTTTTGCCATGGGAGTCTTCTGGCATTCAGACACACCACTGAATTGTGTTTTGAGAGAGTCACATTTAAAATCATTTTCTCTTGGCCAGAGCACTGGAGCTTTGGTGGAGTTTTTTAAAAGCTTCAGAGAACTTCGAAATCCATCCCAATATTTAACACTGTCAGTATTCGTTTGATCAACATCAGACTGTTTACACTTGAAATTACATTTGTCCATGAAATCCAGTTGCTCCTTCTCACTCCTTTTCTCACAGTCATTAGTCAGATTATTATTCACTGAATCAGTCAAGTTATTCTTTCCCTTCTGATTTACAAGACATATTCCACCCTCGACCATTTCAGTTACTGGAGAAAATTCTTTAGCACTTTTATCAACTGTGTCCTTTGTGTGACCTGGTGTGTCAGAAGGGCTAACCGTTTGTGTCTGTGTTTTAATAGTCTCCTGATCACTGACACTGTCCAGCTGAGCAGCATCACTTTGGGACTGACATAAACTTGACTTATTAAGAGTTTGGGGAAGTTCAGCGCTTGCGGATTCCTCTGACACCATTTCTGCGTTTTCTTCTAAATCATGACAAACTGACCACGGAGATGACTCTACAAGAGGGATAGCATTTTGTCTGGCATTTGAGGGCTCACAGTTTTGAGTCACCAGTAAGTCCCCAAGCGGCACTTCCTGTCTTGTTATCTCCTGAATGGGCAGAGCATGGCCAGCTTTTTCATCCATTGTGCATTGTAAAGCATTTGTTGGTTCGTTGGAGACACTTGCTCTATTATTCTTTGTATCTTCACTGACATCTAGCACATTTTCCTCTTGAGTTTTCTGTGGCTGTTGGTCTGCTTCTATTACAATACGTGTATCATCTTTTGTATGCTCTCTATCAGCGCTTTCTGCAATAAGGTTTAAAGTTGAGACCATGTCAGCCTCAAAAGTAACTGACTTGTCGTTCAGGTAATCCATTTTCTGAGCTTGTTCTTTAAGTGAATTTTCTGTCTCTTCTGCTTCCTTTTTTTTGTTTCTTTCATAATTCTCTTGCACATGTCCATCTTTCTCTTCCATAGCCACAATGTTAGCTTTGTTTATAGCACTGTCTTCTTGGAACAAACTTTCTGTGGTGAGTTTTACACTGACGTTTGTGGAGCTGAAATCACTGATTGATGTTGAGTTCATTTGACCTGTACGGCTTTCAAATACACTTACTATCATCTCAGCTGGGACCTCATTCTTGTTATAGTTGGTATGTTCAGTTGTGTTTTCTCTAAACACAGCTGAAGATGGATTGTTGTTGTTGTTGGTAGAATATATCTTTGATTCGAAGATTGTTTCACTCATATATTCCTCATTGACCAAAGCTTGTCCTAAACACAATTCCACAAATTGCTTTAAATTGTTTAAGGTCCTATATTATGCAAAATTGACTCCTTTATTAATGCTGTTACCTTGTCATATACATACCTGGAGTTGTGTTTTGTTTCATTCACACATGTTTAAGTAATCCTTTATAATTAGTCTGTCTACATCTCCAAACGTCAACGTTTTCAAGTTAACATCTACCATTTACCTTTAGTTCAATAGAGATAGGATATTCCAGGTCTGAAATAATCCAAATATTTATAGTCAAGGTGTATAGAGTTTAAAAACAGTGGAACACTTCCAGTATTACCAAATGACATCACAAGGTGGAAGTGTCTTCAGTTTGAGAAAACGTCACAGCCTAAATATGTAGGATTTGTGTGTTAAACACAACACAAACTCCAAGTGTGTTATTGATGAGGAAACAACATTATAACATAGCTCAGAAAATAGTGTAATATGGGCTCTTTAAGGATTAAATGAAGAGTTAACTGACCTCCTGTATATATGATGGAGACCTCTTTGTCGTTTGGTTCATCTGAGTCTTTGGTTAAAGTCAAAACGCTGTTGTACAGTTCAATCTTCAATAAACTCTCACTGCTGCCTCCCTCTTCAGTGGACTTGGACGGGATAACAGTGAGGTCCAGTTCCTTCACTTTCGCCTGCCAAAAATACAAAAACATTATATTACATTATATTATTTGATTATTTTATTGTGGTATTGTGAACTTACAGTTTGTAACTTCAGTTCATGAATTTGTTGTGCCTGTTCTTTAGCCTTTGATGAGAGCTCCATGTAATTTTGGTGAAGCTCCTCATAGGCCTCTTTGACTGTCATAAGTTCTTGTTGCTTATTTTTTATCCGATCTAAAAAATCTGCTTTCTGTACAAAATAAATCAACAAACAAAAGTACTGTCAACTGAATATGTTGCTGTTTAAACACAATCAGTGACACAATATCTACCTCTTTGTCCCAGCTGCTTTTAGAAACAATGTACTCCTCCATTAGTTGTTTTATCTTTTCTTCCACTGTTTTCTCTTTCTCTTGCATTGCCTTGTGATCTTGCTCAAGGCTCTGCAGTAAAATTAATTACCCATACAACTTTAATGCAATACTAAATTTTTATGAGTTTATTTAACATGAACTGCAGGGTTGAACAAAACGAGGAGAGAGATTGTTCTTGCTTACACAAATCAGCTGTGTCATTTTAATAATGATTTTAATAAATTAATGAATAGAGGATGTGAAATCCTAAGGCATGTCCAGTGAAAACACATAAAGAGCAATAAAGGTTTAAGCAATAAATTGGAAAACCACTCAGACTCATTTGGGTTCAGACCGAAGCACATTTACTTAAGTACATGATGTTATATATGTCACTATATTTCTCATATGGTGCACTAAAGATGGTGTTTATTTTCTGCCCTAATATTTCTGTTAATTCAGGCTTTGGACTTCAAATTATGGTAATATTAATATATCCATTCCAGACCAATTGACAATGAATAATGTTTAGCTTAAAAGCTCACCTGGTACTGCTTTCTTTGAGTCTCTATGTCCAGTTTGAGTTGACTCAGTTTCTGTGTCTCTTTGGACAATAGCTGATGAGCAAACTGCAAAGACGTCAGCACCTCCTAAAGACAAAAGAAACATACATTAATAAAATCATCTTAAAATCTTGAATTTTTTAAAATTTTAATTCAAACATTAATGATGTTACTTGTTTTTCTGCTTGAAGTACTTTGTTTTCATCCTTAAATTTCCTGTTCATTTCACATTCCTAAGCATTTATACAAGTGAGTTATTACACAAGGCAAAGTTTTCTGTTAAAGATCCTTTATTATACAAAACTGACTATTGTGAGCTTTAGATTGTTGTTACTTGCTCAAAAACATACCTGGAGTTGTGTTTCGTTTCATTTCAATCACACTAGTGGTAGTTTTTAAGTTAACAGCGTATCCAAATGATACTAGTGAAAGTCTATGGAGTTTAATAACACAGTGGAGCACTTCCTGGATTATCACATGACATCACAAAGTGGAGACAGAACTCAGTGTCAAATATGTAGGGTTTGCGTGCAAACAAAACGACAAAACTCCCAGTATGTTTTTGATGAGAAAACAATATTAAAACAGATTAGAAAAAGAGCATAATATGGGCCCTTTAAACATTTTACTTATAATTACCATGTTCAACTTATGATGTAGCTGATTCAGTGTTTGTTCTTTTATTGAAAAGTTGTTTGTTCTTTTGTCAGGGTTGATAGAGGCCATCTTGGTCTTGATCAACTTATTTCTAAGCTCTTCTACTTCCTTAAAGTACACAAGGAATGTAATGGTATGTAGTAGCCATAGCTTTAATTGCACTAGCTTGAACCTCACATACAATAATCCCACATACCTTGTTAAGAGATACAATCGTGACCTCTTGTTTTTCATTGCTAGAAGTGAGCTTTTTATTAAGCTTCATTGCTTCATCAACTGCAAAAAAGATGCTTTACCAATACTACATGAATGCCAAAGCAGTGTAAACAAAAATTGGTCCTGGTTACAAAATTTAGTTTTGATCGCTTTACATTTAAAATGAAGGCTGAAAAAAATCAGAGCAGTTTTTGACAAAATAAAATTGTAACTATTGTTTACCATTTTGTTCAAGTTTCTCATGAGCCTGTTTGACTGTAGAACAGTGCCTGGACAAAGCACTGAATCTTTTCTCCACTTCTAAAAGTTGGTTTAGGCGACTATCTTTTGATCGACTCTGCAAGGCTAGTTTTTGTTCCTGTAAACGCAGATGAAGAAAGTTAAGATTTAAGGAAAATACTCAATGCATATACTCAAGGAAAATACTCAATGCAGATTAATAAAAAGAGAAAAGAATTAGATAATACTGTAAAAACATATGATTTGATGTATGAGACTGTAGGTGTGTAATTATGTAAATTTGGTTAATTCTCAGAAGTAACTTTGCAAACTGCCATTACAGTTTCATTGCCTGTAACAAGCATTCTTCTTTCTATTTCCCACTCCCTTAACACTCTGAAATGCTTATCACGGAGCAACTGTTATGAAAAAGGTTAAACGGAGCGAGGCCTAGTTATAAAATATTTTAATAGAGGTATTTTCTGTGCTGTGCCGGCGGTTCAAAGTGTCACACACTCCCTATCCGTTACTCTTGATGAGCTCTTTACGCTATTCCTCCTTAGCACCATTCACTCAGCCTCCTCTTTTAATTCTTCCAACTCCCACCAATTTAATTTCAACAATCTGTAAGAGCTGAAATTTCTATACTTACCAGCTCAATTGATTTCTTTTCCAAGTTATACTTTGTTAACTGTTGAAAAATAGTCAAAGATAAAATGGAATTTATTAGAATTTTCAACAAAACTTAAATCAATTTCAGCTGAGACAATATGAAATAAGAATTAAAATGACTATATTTAAAATACATTTTACATTTATTTAACATGCTCAAAATGCTGCATATTGTAAATAAAGCTCTGGTCTAGACAAATGTATCCCTTGACGCCAGCAGCCAGAATAATTAACTAACTGGGAGTCCCTTGGTCCAGAGTCTCAGACAGAATATCAGAAACAGTCTCTATTGTCTGTTACACAGCTAGGCTGTTTAAGTGCTGTGGAGCGCGCAGTGAGCTGTAGATCACTGTGTGGCATCACTCAGACTCTGAGGACTACGGGCCTTTTCCATATGACCATGACCCAATACAAATGCTAATGAAGATATTAGAGAATTATTCAAATGAGCTCAGAGACACTTTACATGTAGAGACTTCAGCTCCTCCTTCAAGTTGTGAATGTCTTTTTCTTTCTGCTCCACACTTAGCTGGTATCTCCTCTGAATTAGCACATTTTGAAATGTTAATAATATAGAAATAACTTTATAAGCATGAATTAATTAAAATATCATTTCCATACCTTTTCCTCTTCAATATCTATTATTTTGGCCTGAAACTTTTTAAATAATAAGGAAGGTAGTGTTAGAAGTTGCACAATATCTTTTCTGCAAATATGAGTTAAAATACCTGCTTGTTGGCCTTGGAGAGCGACCCTGCATACTGATTTTTCTCTGCTTCTAATTGATTTTGCAAAGATTCCTGCGACAGGGAAATATTAGTATATATTATAATAAACATTTATCAAGGTAATATCTCACTATACCTTCCCCCATTCCAGCTCTTGCTTCTCCAGCACAAGTTTACTGATCTGTTCCTCGAAGCGTTCTTCAGCATCCTGAGCAAATAAATACATCAGTACAACAGATCAAATGCAATCTATCCAATTTACATTTTCGAGCTGCAGCCAATCGTCTGCCAGGATCTGCCAGTATTCAATCCTCTACCAGTAAAAACAAGTGGTCTGAAGCAGAGTTTATACTTATTATTAATTAATTAATAATAATTAATATAAATTTTATTTTATTTTGCTGTTATTGTAGTGCTGCTTTTTGGAACTACAGAATCTCATGAAATATAACTGACCAGCACTTTGAATCCTTTTTTGTCACAACTAAACAGATGAAAAAAATAAAAGTTTTTCTCACATGTGCCCAATCTTGTCATACGAAATTTGTTCCCATTCCTAATTATTAAAACCAACTTTCAAAATAACCAACTTCAGCTTCCCTACACAAAAATAATCTGGACTTTTTCCAAAAGTGCAAACTGCAGTAAGTTTCACTGGTTCATTATGGTGCATCGCTCGGTGAGTTGCACATACAATAAGGAACATTAGAAGGGAGGTAATATTTGGAGAAACCCATCCTTATCCTCCCTCTACCCCAGAGACGCAAGGTAAAAGTCAATTGCTCTCTATATCCAGGAGACTTTTTTATGTGGACGTGGGAGCTGGTTAACCCTCTAAGATGATTTTATAAGTTCCTATTAAACTGTGCTACCAGAGGCTCTGCACATAATATAAAATAGAACAGCAAGAAATAATTTGATACAGAGGTCAGTAGAATATGTCAAACATTTTTGATGAAGAGGCTTAGATGGAGAAAAAAACATCACAAATGTATTGGACTTTTTAAAGATTGAATTTAAAAATAAAAAATATGTGTTTAAAAAAATGAAATCCCCCCAGGGGTTCCAGTTATCCTGTTATGCTCTGAGTCTAAATCAGTTTTGGGTCACACTGTCTTAAGAGAAAAGGGAACGTGACCTCCGCAGGAATGTCCGGCCCATCATTACATCCTTTTTGCCTCTCGCCCTCCGCCCAATAAGCACAAGCACCATAAGAGCCTGAGGAGCATCAAACTGATATAGCAGCAATAGAATCCCGTTTAACAGGACAATAACTATAAAAATCAAATTACAACAAATGACCAACATCCTATTTTTGCTCCTTTAACCTTTAAACACACGCACTGTGTGTTGTTAAGCTGAAACTACTTGCTGGAGGCTAGAAGTCAGGCTTTATTTCAGCTATTGTCGCCAAAAGCAAATTGTACATTTATTTTGTACTTATTGGTCAAGCACCAAATGGCTTTTGTAAACCTTATTTGCACCATGACCAGATGGCACCAGTCCAGTTTCATGAACAGAGGAAAACAGAACTGAGTCCTTCTGACATCTGACTTTAGAGGGTCAAAAAAGGAGAGTTGTGCTGTCAATATTTTCAGAGAGAAGCAAGCTGTAAAACATATGTTATGACTAGGTCTGTCACAATGTATTTTGAAATGCATAATATTGTTACGCAAAATACTGCAATATTGAAAACTATTTTAGAGCATCTAATTTTGTAAAAATCTGCTTTGAGTAAAACACTTAAAGCACTTAACCCACTTAATAATTAGTATCAATCAGCCACATATCATTACTCTTCCCTCCGCAACTGCTGTTACAAAAAAAAAGTGCAAATAAAATGTAATGTAAAATGCAAAATTTGAGCCCTAAAAAATACAGAATAATAGAATTTAAACTGATAAATATTCAGTCCTGTCTAATTGTCATTGATCAGCTTTGATCTTTTGAATCAAGATTGACATAATTCTCTGTCAGTAAAAAGCATGTGGTGTGACTTTGAAGGAATAAACTGTCTTAAATGGCACTGATTTAAAGTCTGTCTTGCTTATGTCCAAATCCATACTTAATTTTCTTTTTGTTTTTGAAAAGAAAAAAAATTTATCAAACTGAAAATAACAACATATAGACCATATAAAACATCAATAAAAAACATAAATGTTACCCTTCGAATGTACAGCTCCTCTACTACCTCAAGCAGGTGCGCTTTAAACTCAAGCAACTGCAGTAAAATATTTCCATCACTTTGAGACAGAGAGAGATCAGGTAATGACAGCTCCTGTCCACACTCAGGTCCCACAGCCTAAACACATTTTGGAGTTATTTTTCATTGGTTTGAATGAAAACACACACACTTGGACTTCATTGTAATAAAAAAGTAGATAGGTCTTTGTTGACTGTGTTCAGCTTACTGTGATGCTACTGCAGATATTGGTTAACTCTTCAGACACATCCATTGGTTGACCAGGGCGTCAGGGGAAGTGATTTCCACTTAATAGAGAGAGAAAATATCTTTTGTTAAAAAAGGTTAATAGAATAGACTCCCTAATGGGTAGACACCCACCGCTCCACTTCCTTTGAGCATATAATGAGCTTCTCATCTGCATTTTCTCTGCTAAATGGTTTTATTAGAAATAATAGAGGGGTCCATTAAAGGCTCAAAATGTTTCGCAATCACAATAATCTCCCCTAATGGCTGTGAAATGACCATTCATTTCCCCCTCCCTTTGTGTCACACAATATCTATAGCACAAAGAGGGTAATGCTTTGATAAACCATCTAGGTTCAAATGAACCACACCATTGACACTAATAAGGGTCAGAGCAATAACAGTAAGTGGACAGATTGTGCTGTCATTGCTTTTAAAATTATCTTATTATTTAATTTGACCTGTGGTTGGTCCCTGGAGCTGTCCCCTCAACATAAGCAAGTCTGACACTCACATAAACACACTCACAGAGCCACAGAATATGACACTTTTAGTAGGAGTACTCCACTAGTCACTGATCTCCTAATAGAAGAGACCCTTAAGTCCCATTTAACCTGGTCTGGGATCAATCATCTCAGGGGATTAAATGGCCCCTGTAAGAATTGGCTACGGCCATAAAATGACACTGACCTCAGGCAGTGGGAGAAGAGAGAGGGGCCAAGAGTCCAAGAGCCACAATCACATTTGAGACAGGAGTCTACGCCAGTTTTATATGTTCTTTTATTTACCGGGGTAGATTTTAACTAGAAATCCATAAAACAGTAAAATAAATATCTGTATTTCACCATTTCACCGTGGAAGACCCCAGCAGGCCAATGAATTTTTAAAAATGATTGAATATAAATGTTGAAAGTTTATACAGTGATCAATCGCTAGACCACGTCCTGTTTATCCACATATTCTTGCCATCATAGAGGTGAAAATTATAAAACACACACATTTATTAATCGATATGGTCGCAATACTATTTTAATGCTAAATGTAAATTAAGCAGTACTGTTTATTAAAACGTAATTTAAGATAATATCCACATGGCTAACATCCGAACATCCGCTCTGCTAGCAAGAACAACTCCTGAATAACTATGGAAAAACAATAAGTATTTCCATTTATAAAATTTTATTCAAGTAACTAATTATTTGAAAGAAATCACATTTGGCTATTGGCAGTGTGCGATAAAATATGATCAGCTCGAGCTCACTCACACAAACTTCGAGAAAAATACATATTAAATTGACAACAAAGTATTAAACGAGTTAAATACATTTACCATACGCAGTTTTCTTCTTCAGAAAGACAATATTGCACCCTGGCGGCTACATTTGGGTGTACAATCGTGGTCTACAAAACTTTAGTGAGTGAGATTGGGAGATTGTACTTCATTGACGGTGGTTTCAAAGTGGACACGAGGAGAAGGAGAGAAGTGCAGCTCGACATCATTTTATGCACAGTCTATGGGCAGAAAGAAGAGTGCTGTGGCTCACGGCTGTGGCCCATGGCTCTAGCTCAAAGGATGTGAATATTGCAACGGGAGCAACACCAGAAGAAGCTGGTGTTTCAGGATCAGGACAGTTATAGATCCAGGGTAAAACCTTAATTTTCAGGTTTGCATAAAGTGACCAGACGTCCCTATTTAACCGAAACAGTCCCAGTTTTGAGCTGTGTCCCCTGCACCAATAGATTTATCCAAAACCAGTGATTTGTCCCAGTTTTATACAAGAGGTATCCCTATTTTTGACCAATCTGATCCCTGCCAACAGTAGAGACGCATAAATTGCCATTTGTTTAGGTAAAATACAAAAAGATGCTTAAAAATCACCAAAAACACAAAGAAAATGTGACTATACTGACTCACGTTAGTGTCGTGTGCAAAACCATTTTCCTTAATTACGCACTCGTTTTACAGTTTTATTATTACCAACCACCACAAACCAGTGATGTCCCAGTTTTTAATTTTTAAAATCTGGTTTGCAGACATTAAGCATTAAGTATTTACATGGCTTCGCTGGCGTTGGGATATCTATAGATAGACGGTACTGCCACCAGGCGGTTACACTGGGGTACTACAAATAGAACTTTGAGGGGGATTCTTTCAGATTGTTGAGATTGTCGGTGAGATTTTTCTTTTCTCTAGCAGTAGGATGTCTTCAATCAAGGAAAGAGCCGCAGCCCTAAATCTCGCAGAAAAACTCTCTGTGGTTCCAGGTGAGTTAGTGCTAAAGGTTGAATTATGTGAACCAGGCTTGGCCAACAAAATAAGAACACTGTAGCTAGGTTGCCTCACTAGCCTAAGAAAATGTAGGCTAAATGATTTTGCTTACAGAATTACGGTGACCAGACGTCCTTATTTACCCGGGACAGTCCCCGTTTTGAGCCGTGTGTCCCCTGTCCCAGCAGATTTATCCAAAACATTGATTTGTCCCAGTTTTATACAAGAAATGCTCCAGGCGTCCCTTTTTTGACCAATCTGATACCTGCCAACAGTAAAGAGAGGCATAAATCGTCATTTGTTTCGGTAAAATATAGAAAAGCTGCTTAAAAATCACAAAGAAAATGTGACTATACTGACTCACATTAGTGCCAAGAGCAGAACAATTTTCCTTAACCATGCACTCCTTTCACAATTTTATTATTACCTCCCAGTCCCATGTCCCAGTTTTTTTTATTTTGAAAATCTCGTCACCCTATATAGAATGCACAATGCTAAATTTAGCTGTTTACATTGTAATTCATGCACTTAGCCTAATTATGTCATCTTGGTTTGTGTCTGCTCATGTCTTTCCTTCAGCTTCTGGACAGGTCTTTAAACCAGTCCACAAATGTCTCCAGTGGCGCTCCCTGATCACCTACCTCAAGTCCACTGTAACCATAAAGAGGAGACGCGTCCACATGAAATCACACAATGACTGCTTCCTGGGATCAGAAGCTGTAGATGTTGTGGTAGAACATCTCAAGATATCCATGAAATTTGAAGGTTTCATTATCTGTATATTTGATCATACACAATGTCATTAAATGGCCCATATAACACTATTTTCTGATCTATGTTATAATGTTGTTTCCTCATCAGAAACATACCTGGAGTTGTGTTTTGTTTCATTCACACAAACCCTGCATATTTAGGCTGAGTTCTCTTCACCCTGTTCCACCTTGTGATGTCACGTGCTAATACAGGAAATGTTACACTGTGTTTTTAAACTCCATACACTGTCACTAGAATCAGTTGGATAATTTCAGGCCTGGAATTGCCGATTTTTACTGAACAAAATATAAGAGCTGTTAACTTGAAAACAAGAATTACATGACATCACAAGGTGGAACAGAGCAGTTTTAATATAAGTTTGTTTGTGATGCTCTAACGTAATTTCATTGTTATTTTATATGACAATGACAATTAAAGAAATGAATCTTGAACCTTTGAGCTTTGAAGATGAAGAGAGACTACTAAAAAAGGGATTACTCAAACATGTGTGAATGAAACAAAACACAACTCCAGGTATGTTTTTGATGAGGTGACAACATTATAACATGGGTCAAACCTCACAAGAGTCAATTTGATGTAATATAGGGCCTTTTAAATTGTTAGTGATTGTTGCTTTTGATGATTTCCTGTACAAACGCAGATGTGACACGTCCCAAAGTGCTGTGTGTGTGTCAGGCACTGTTGGATTGTAATGTTTTTGAGGCGGTGGGAGCAAAACCAATGGGGAAAGACCAGAAGCAGGTGTTTCAGGACAGTAAAAACTCTCTTTACAGGTTTGCAAACACTTTCCTCCCACTTCTCTAATGCTGTTTAAAACACCCCTGTAAAGCTTGCATTGTAACTGACCTTTCTATAACTTTTCACAGGTTCATTGAGGTGCATATACCTTCTGTTGACGAGCTGGAGAGGGGTGTTCTTGCAGTGGGACTTCAAGCCTTTTTCTGCAACATCGCTTCAAAAAAGTATGATGACAACAATTCAGTTAGATTAAATTTATTTCTGCTTAGTTTCGCTCAGTAGTAATGGCAAGTACAATATGACTGCAGTTTGGTTGTTCTTTCATAGACTGGAGGAGCAGACAATTCCCCCTCCATCTCATGTTGAAATGCTGGACGGTCCTGACACGGAGAGCCTGGAGGCCTCTGTGGATAGCTTGAGTTTTAGCCCAAGCAAAGGAAAAACAGGTGCAAAAGTCATGTAAAACAAACCATCTTTGTTGATAAACGTTTGTTCTCAAAGAAAATATTGCAATATAGATTTTTATATTGCACATATTAAGATTGTAGAAGTGGGAGATGTTTGTGGTTAGATTTATAGTTTTTCAAGTTTTTACAATATTTGAATCCAAACCAAGACTTATACAGGCAGATCTGAGATATTAATTTTGGTCAATATCGCCCAGCCTATAAAATAATGTGTTAAATAATATAGTTTTACTTATTGATAATTTTAGTGATTGATGAGGTATGGCAGGAGCTGACTCTTCTCCGTCTCCTGAACCTGGTGGAGATTCCTGTGTTGGATGGGATTCTCCAGTGCAGTCTGAATCCAGTGTCTCCTCAAAAAACACAGCTGCCTCACAGTCACCCAGATCTCATTCACAGCAGCAACCACCTGGACAGGAAGGTCCTCAAGGCTTTCCGGGACTCCCAGTATGTCATTATCACCTATTTTCTCTGTGTTGCGCTTACTTGCAACTGTCATCTTTGTATTACAACATTTACGCACAAAAAGTCTGAATAGTTTGAATACACAGATTTGTTTACAAGTGTTTTCTCGGAATACCATCATAAATTCTGATTTTTTTACAACAGTAATTAAGATGGAGTCACTCTGTTGTGTAGGGAAGATGAGTGGCTGTTTGCTGCTATGGATTGTCTGGACTTCCTGTCAGACCAGTCAGTGGTGGATTTGAGCAGGGCTCTACCTCACTGTTTCTCTGAAGGTGAACAATTTACCACCAAGTTAAAAGATATGCATATGCAGAAAAACAAAACAAAAAACATCTAACATTTGTAATTCTTTTCTTATTTGAAGACCCTAGCGGAATACAGAAGTCTTGTTATGAACAGCCTCTGCTTTCCTCTAGGAGTTTAAACAATTATAAACTTTTGGTTTATGGAGCACTGGCCAAGCACTATAGCCACACAGACAGAGCTCCACTGATGCCCCAACAAATGACTGACATTTACAAAGCTGTCATTGATCTGCTTGGTAAGAATCTATATATGGAGCTCTTTGCGTGTAGTGTGTCTTTAGCTTATGTGATATGCACACAAACAAAAAATCACAATTATACAATTACTTGCTGTATTGCTCTCTTGTGTTGTAGTGACGGCCAAGTTGGGCACCGCTCTGGAGGCCTTGCAGTTGTGCCTGAAGCTGTTGCCCAGCAGAAATAGAGAGGAGCTGCGTCGTCTGCTGACCTTCATGGCTTTGGCAGCAGAACCACAAGCCATCAAGCTAGACACTGAAGTAAGGCTGGGAAGTTTCTGTCTCATTCAGAGATGTATAGAATAATGTAGTTTAATCTAAACAATGGCTGAACTTATAGATGGAAAACAGGCTGGCTGTGAAGAAATCTTTCTCTAGGGCCATTCTCCACAGCAAAAATCTCCCAAAGGAAAAAGAAGACCTGATGGTTGTCTTCATGATCAGCAATATTCACGACATATTTAAGGTACTTCTAAATATACATAATTATTTTAATATTTACCTCCCTAAAATAAGTAAGTACATTTAATTTATATAAACATTAAAATGATAATTATTAGGAAATTGTGAAGTTTCAGACAACAACAACGTGCAACTTTTCTTATAGTTTAATGTAAGAATATGGTGTATGATTAAATATAATGCAAGAGCAACAAGATTTGTAGGCTCTACGTGCTTATGTGCACAAACATTATTCTCTTTTGTATAAATAAAAAGATGTTTGACATAAGACTATTTAATCTTTCATTACTTACACATGTATGTCTTCACTGAAGATTCCTGGTGCCTTGCACAAACAAGTGAGTGATAAGTTGGTTCACCTTGTACAAGGGAAGCAGGTTGATGAGACCGGTAAATATAAGAACTTTTTTGCTTACAGTATTCCTAATTATTGTTTCTGTCTACTTTTGATTGTAACTCACTTTTACTCAGCAGACTCCACATTCTGTCTGCAAGTCTCAAAGAGGACTTATGTGGATTCCACAAAGACAACCACCAATGATGAACTATGGAAACTGCTGGACAATATTCACTGCAACATAAAAATATCCAGCAAAGAAAAAAAACGCTTACTTGGACAGTTTTACCAGGCCCACCCAGAGGTTTTTAACCAATATTTTGGTGACTCTGCTGTTACTATTCTTTAAATTTTGAGTGAGTGATGATTTTGATGTGATTTGAACTACTGTCACTGGGTGCCCTCTGTACAAATAATAACAAACTGATCAATTTAATTAAACGATTTCAAGCATTGCTGCTTTGTCAGATTTCTGTACTCTAGAAACAATTGCAAATTTGTGCTGAAAAATAATGACAATTTGAATGAAGCGTTTTTAAAGCTTGAAAGCTCACAAACCCAGAATTTCTGCATGACTAATCTAATCTCTAAAATTATTTCATAAATTATTATCACACTTTGTCCTTTGTTTACTTACATCCCTTGCTGATGGTGGCGGACCATAGAATTATAATAAATTAATAACGTTTTTATTATAAATCCATGTGGCGGACCAATCTGTGGCCGCATCTTCCAGAGGAGTGCGTACGTCTTTACGCCACACCCAAAACAGGAAGTCCAAGCATCACGAGCGAGTGGACTGCACCAGCGCGAGACGTCTTGTTTTGAAGATAAAACGATTAGGTAGCAGTTGTAAACAAAGCTGTTTGCGCAGTTTGGGCTTTTGTCGTGGTTGTGTGAGGATTCAAATAATACTTCTTATTTTGACCACTTAATAGCGTCGGTATCCTTTATACTGGTTAGTGACGTGATCTAATTTGCTGCTTTGTGCTTGTTTTTGCGAAATGATGTCATTGTTGTTAGTATCGTGGCCTTTTTTGTCAGAAAATTACATAGCATCTGCAACTGCTACTACACTAGGCCATGAACAGTCTTATGATTAAATCTGATTTAGTTAACATCAAACAATTGACATTCTATTTGTTGTAATTCTATAGTCCGGGATGCCCAAAGATTCAGATGAGTCTAGGAAGGAGGAAAAGGACTCAAAAGAGGAAATGACAGAGGAAACATCAGAGATGGAGAGGAAGAGAGTACGAGTACAAACTCCCAGCCCACACAGAGGAAACACTCCTCAAGGTGAGCAAATGGCTTCTGATTTTTGTGTACATTCATTTGACTATTTTGGTCCTCACTGCCAAAACTAGCTGTTTTACCTAGGCTATAGGTTACACCTCAAATGTAATTTTATGAAGAGGGTCAAACTAGCCATTTTGTGACATTTTCATCTCTCATAGCCAGTCCTTCTGGGTTTGTCTCCATTGACGAGCTCAGGGAAACTGCTAAAGGGATCACTAACATGATGCTAGCTCATGAGATTGTGGTGAACCAAGTTTTTCAAGTGAAGCCCACTGAATTTCCAGAAGAAAGGTATAGTGTGCTTAAATATATTTTTTAAATATACTCTTTTTTGGCTATTTCATTAACAATTTTCCTCTTGTGGTCTAAAGTTTAGAACACAGAGTCAAGGAGACTATGCACAAGGCATTCTGGGATTGTTTGGAATCACAGCTAAAGAAGGATCCACCTTCATATGATCATGCTATTAAATTACTGTCTGAAATTAAAGAGGTTAGATAGTGTTATTTCTAGACTTGCATGTAAAGAATGAATAATGCACAATAAAGGAGATGACTTGCATTTTATGAGCAAGTTAGTTCAATAATATAGTATAATAATACAATAACAAAGTCATTTCTGCTTTTTATTCAGACACTTTTGGGTTTCCTGCCGTCTAGTCATGGTCGTTTGCACTCTCGCATCGAGGAGGTTCTGGACCTTCCCCTGATCCAGCAGCAAGCTGAGACAGGAGCTCTTGACATCGGACAACTGTCCCAGTTCATTGTTGGAATGATGGGGTCTCTGTGTGCTCCGTGCAGAGATGAAGATATCAAGAAGCTAACGGAGATCACAGATATAGTGCCTCTTCTAAAGTAGGTTTCAAAGCTCTGGCCAGTGCAATTGAATATATTCTGTAATCATATTCTGATACTATTTTGATGTAGACGCATAAGTTACAATAAGAGAAGAATATTTTCTAATAATCCTTGCGTATATAGATCCATATTCATTGCGCTGGACCTGATGAAGGTGGACATGGCTAACTTTGCTTTAAGCAGCATCAGGCCTCATCTCATGCAGCAGTCTGTGGAGTATGAAAGAACTAAGTTCCAGGAGTTTCTTGAAAAACAACCCAGTAAGTACAAACTAGTAAGTCCTCTTAGACACGTGCTTTTATTGCTGCCCTTCCTGGATGAGATAATTTAGATATTTTTGCCAAAGAGGATACTAGTATGTTTATTCCTTTGTTATTAATTTTATTTTAGATGGGAATATATGTTTAATACCCTAATGAAACCATGCTTTCTTTTTAGATGCCTTAGATTACACTGAGAAGTGGTTAAAGGACACAATAAACACAATGAGAGAGTCAGATGAGTGTGGTGCCTCATCTGATCCTCCCTCTCTTCTTCCACTGCATATTCATAATCAGGCCTATCTACAGCTGCTCAGATGGGACCATTCTGCAGAATTTTTCCCCGAGGTACAAAATTCTGCATTGGTAAAACTTTCTGGAATTTTAAGGCCAGCCACAATTGTTTTATTTATATTATTTATCTTCTTTCATTAGACTGTATTAATGGATCAGATGAGGTTTCTGGAGATGCAGCAAGAAGTGGAGCGCCTTGTTTTGATCTCCTCTATCCTCCTCATTGTATACACTACAACAGGAGAAGCCATATCAGGCTTACCTGGACTAATGGACAAGCTAAAAAACACTGTTAATGCCATTCTAGCTGACATGCACTCACCGTGAGTGGCAACTTAATGCATTATAATTTTTTTTATTATTTGTTTGCATGTAGTGATGAGTCTGTCTGTTTTATTTGTCCCAAGGACTTTTTCTGCACAGGAAGCCTTAGCGTCGATTGGGGAGAAATTGTGTGTTGAGCTTAATGACTGTTTGAGTCAGCATGGCTACTCCCCATTCTCATCTGACAGAAAGGGCACTTTAAAGGGACAGATTATTGCTACTGTTTTTCCAGACAATGCAGTTCGAAAACTCATTGGTAAGACCCATGAGGGGTACTGCATGATGCCTACAGCTACACACAGAGGACATACTAGTATGGAGCTAATGTTTATCTGTGTTCTATTCAGAATCTCGAGTTCAAAGTTACCTTCTTGCTTCTCTGGAATCCACTCTACACCAGACCCATCCTGCACTTCCTGGTGGTCTGGCCCCGGTGAGCAGAGAGCTGAATGAGCTTGCTGTTCGCTTTAGTCGCCTTGTCAACTATAACAAGCTAGTCTTCTCTCCATTTTACCAAAGGATTCTTCAGAAAATCTTGTTGCCAGGTGAAGAAACCAGCATAGATGTTTAAATGAAATGTAACATCAAAACGGTTGTGGACAAGTAACTTAGTGGGCCATATCTTGCCCCCAGTCTTAGGGCTTAGAGCAAGTGTGGGGCGTAGAGTTCTAAACAAGAGGTGTGCCGTGGAGCAGACTGAGGGAGTGGTGTGGCGCGTTTAGTGAATTGCCAGAATCGTAGAAATAAATATTAACCGAGTCTCCTGGAAAACAACGTGTAACATGCTCAAGGCTTCTTTTATTTGGAAACATATTAGGATGATAAATGCTTAACATGCATAACATATTTGTGTGCTGTGCGGGGAGCCGTCCGGATGCCCTCCCACATCAGAGCACAGCCCCTCGCCCGCTCCCTGTATCGGCTCAGCTCTGCTCTATAGTTTGGTTTGGTCTGGATCTGTACAGTGAGGCTGTTTACAGCGCTGTCCCAAACTGTGTTTTCTTACTCTCTCTGCGGTTCTAATGCTGCGATGTCGATTTCCTCACATTCTCTCGGCCGGACTCTGCGCGCACATTCACTGACACCTCAGGGCTGTGACAGCGGAGCAGACGCACGTATCATATCTGTGCGCAAAGCGGTGACATCAGAAACATTTATATTACAATAAACCTGTGTGGGACCAAATGCAGTGGACACCAGTGAAAAGTGAATGTTAGCTGTCAGCGGCAGCAGAGGTACACTCGTACCTCAGGTGAGTCCGTGGGAGCGGACTGTGGGACAAGCTGTAACGGGTGCGAGAAAGTAGCGGGTGGGATGGGGAGCGCATGGGAGACACTGGTCTTAAACGAACGCAGAGGAAACTATAAAAGGTTGACGTGTGCGCGCGTGCACGGGCTTACAGCAGTGCGCATGCATAAGAGGGACGCACGTGCGCGCGGAGTGTCTGTAACACAAACCCCGTCAGTTCTGTCATGGCCCATGCAAAATTCTGTATTCCTGGAGCCTGTATTGAGGTAAAAAACCTGGACACGCCCGCTTGTGCTTAGCGCTAAAACTGAGGGCAAGATACAGCCCAGTGTGTTGTGGCAAATTTGAAAAAACAGAACAACAATTAAAACTTTATATGCTGTTTACAGATCCAAGTATTGGCTTGAATATAGATTCTTAAAGCAAACACAGAACTGTTCTCTTTAACTGCTGTATCAAGTATTAAGTGACAAAGCAATAACATGTGTCAGTGGTTCCCAAACATTTTGTTGTTACTTGTCCCTCTGATTTTTGGATGATAAGTTGAGTACTACTGATTCCAAAAACGTCTGGACGCCGTACATGTACAATACAGTATACAATATCTAATAATATGTCCAAAACTCCTTGTAGCCAAACTACCCATACCCACTTGCATACCCATGGAGATATTTATACCACAGTTTAAGGACCACTGACATGGGTTAACCATGTTGCTAGAGTGGAATCAAAGAGTCAAGTTGAAATGTATTTGAGAAGAAGGAAGAAAAGCATTAAGTGTTACTTGGTTTGTTATGGAGTAACAAATGACTGGACCCAGATGTATTTACATAAGAACAAATATCTTTACTGTCTTTCTTGTGGTGTTGCATTTCACCTCTTACAGCATTAATAAGTGAGAATACGGCAACAACTTCTTATATCACTTTAAGAAAAACTTTGCATATTTTAACGACAGGTATTTTGCTTTAAACCAGTATAAAATTTACTCTCAATGAGATAACTGTTGAAATAGTGAAGGAAAATCATTTTTAATTATTTATCTCAGTGTTTGTGATTTTTATTTTTTTTCCCAGCTGTTAGCAGCTGATAGCTGTTCATATTTGCCACCTTGTTCACATGATCTTTACAAGTTAATCCAACATCACCTGCGTGATGCATGAATGTAGATTTAACATTTCAATAAAGCACTGCCTGCCCTTCAGTTCACTAGTGTTTTATTTAGTTGCGGTCGGTTTTTATCTTGTACGAACAGTTCTTTCTTGTAATAACACCTTTGAAAGCCAGATGGTGCAATTTCTGATATGCATAATGTTTTGGCCATGGTAGCGACGATTTGTCCTAAGAAACTAACTGAAAACAAATCAAAAGGCCACTGAGGCATTGTCCAGGGTAAGGATTTATGCAGCAAAATGATCAAATGTCCAAACAAAAGTGTATTTAAGGTGGTTTAATTCCTTTGCAGCAACGGCAAACATGAGAAAATTGCAGCCTCTCTGCCCATGCTGTGAAACCATTTGCCCACAATGCCCTGCTGCACCCTCCCACCTCCACCTATTTATAGAAATAAAACCCTCTTACTGAATGCACAGTAAAACTAAACCATTAACAAATTAAATTAGCAGACTAATTTACAAACAATGACTAATTAATATGCAAAAAATAAAGATAACAAAAATAAAAATTTAACTTAATTAAGCAAAAACTGAATTGGCAAAGTATATTTTAACCGAACAGAGGTAAATAGCTCAAACAGTAATCTTTTATTGGATTGGTATTATTTGCATTTTCATGACATTGGCTAAGGTTATGTGTCCAGCAAAATATAATTAGAATCTGATTTCTGCAACATTATTGAAATGTCTCTCAGAGTAAAATGCCGTGTCAAGGACTACAGATGGAAATTAGCTGTGAGAAACATCTTAAATGTTTTCATTGATTAATGTAACCATATGGTCCTACACAGCAAATTCGAAAGTGTTAAATTCACGAAGAAAATCCAGGTATGTTTCAACATAGTCAAGAGTTATTTCTAATATGACATTGCTATAGAGTGAAATAAGTAGTTGTTGGTTCAGTGTTAATGTCAAACACTTGTTTATTTAGAATATTACACTACATCAGTGTTGGGCTTTTGTAGAGCTACAGTCCGAGAGAGAAGCCAAGCTAAGCTAACTAACTTACTGTGGCAGTTAATGTTGCTTTCACTGATGTCCATGAAAATTGGGTAAAATAGCCATAGATTGTACTTTTAATTAGTATGAGTATGAGTAATGTTACTTCAAAAAAAAAAAAAATTCTCAGGTCTAAGTAAAAAGTAGAAGTCCAAAAAAAGTGTTAATAGCTAAGAGTAAAAGTATTCGGGGCAACTACTCCTCAAGTAAAAACTGAAGTATAGTTCTGCGTCGACTCAACGCGCACTGCCTTGTCGCCGGCGTTTTTTATTTATGGATCTGCGTCGAGGTCTGTGCACAGAGATTGTACGTCTGCAGGTCATACACACAGACCGTATATATGAATGGACAGATATCGTCGCCCCCTAGCGTTTTGGCAGTGAATTATTTCGCGATGCACAGACCTCGACCCATAAATCAAAAACGACGGCGACAAGGCAATGGCGGCAGTGTGCGTTGAGTCGACGCAGAACTATACTTCAGCCTTTAGTAGCATCTTTCTACTTACAATTTCTGTAAAAAGTTAGTTGTAAAATAATTTTAATTTACCAAGGACTGTACAGAGTACAAATGTCTGACGTAACATTGTGCTAGCATTAACTGCTACTTAGCGCTTAGCCTTGTCCTTGCATTACTGGGTTAAGAAGTTATCCAATGTACCACAATAGCTTATTTAGAGTGAATAATGTTCCACTGATGATTCTGCTACTTGGAAAAAAACAAAAAACGCAACAGACATTCTTGTGCATGCGGGGCTCTTCTTGGGTCCGTGTACATTCACATTGCAGTCGATTTTCGTATTGAAATGGGAAATTCTAAATCCAAAATCGTAACACTTTGTTGTAAGTCGAAAATCTATTTGCTTTTTGTCCGTGTTTTTGTCGTAGAGTTGCCCTCAAAGCCTCGTGACAAATGCCCGTGATGCTTCACTTTCCGGACCGAGTTACGGCGCAGCGGCGCACTGCCTTTAAGCGGGACTGGAGAGCGCTCTCAGCGGCTACACTGCAGCTGACTCTCTGAGGGGAGCTGTCGGGATACCCGGTGTTTCTGCATCACTGGCAGTGGGGACCCCGTATACGCTCCGTAGCCTGGAGTGGACTGGGCACCAGAGGAGGTGGAATCATCTCTAAACGAGGACTAAACCCGCATTTGACCAGGTCTAACCCGACACCCGCATACGCCTAAACCAGGTGAGTCCCGCTCTGCCTCAGCTCCGTATCGAGGAGACCGCAAACAGCGGGTCCACGATCTCACGCAACCCCGATCTAAACGCCCTCACACGGCCCTATCTCTGCCTGCACTCGGTACTGTTTCCCTATTTCCAAACGAAAATCTACAGGGACCCCCAGGCTAAACTGAACTGAAGGGCAGGTTAGTATTCTTTAGCATAGCTCTTCCGAGTTTTCACCGTGTTTTTCACTCTTTAAGGCTGCATTCATTCGCTGTATTTACATTTCTTTTAATAGCTTATAAACGTGCACACTTTTGTGTGGTGTGTTGAGGTAGGATATTGTACCAAGTCGAGAATTATTACAATTATTTGAATCAAAAGGTTAGTAGTAATCTGTAAAAATAAAATATCTTCAAGTATGATGTCTTACCCAATACAGTGTCTTAACATTCTACTGACCTTTAGTAAAAAGAGTAATGATACATTCTTTTTTTGCAGTTTCTTTAGGGTGAGTGTCTTGCTGCTGGTTCACATGCATCCCCAGCTCGTAAAGGCTACAGTGGAAAGATGAATGCTCAAGCCATTAACCATTTTGTCAGAGATTTGCAGGTATGTCAAGAAATGGTTAGATGTAGAACTGAAATGTAACCTCACCTATAATTTCGTAATTGAATAATTGAATTTTAAATATGTGCTAAGTAGTTGTAATTTTTTGTCTTAATCTCATTCTATTTTCATGATTAATGGCATTTAGGTGTTTTGTTTCTTGTGGGTCTTGCATTTAAAAATAATCTTTTCTAAGGGGCTACATTTTTTCAAATTACCCTTCAAGTTATTTATTTGAATGTTCCTGTATACAAAAACATACAGCTCATGCAACAAAATGACCTGCTTAATAGGAACAAACAAATAATGATATATGAACCATAATATATCTACTATATATTTACTTTAACATTTTTATTCATGTCTCATTAAATATTGCATAGCCCGTTTTGCAAGCTGGTTACTTGAATATGTTATATTTATTGTATTCTATATTTTATTTTACAGATCAGTATGGACACATTTCATGCTGGTTGAGCCTGGTTTTTTATGTCATCGTTGACCTGGCTGAATTTGGTGAACACTTCAAAGACTCTCATCAACTTTACACCTGTATTCAAAGAACTGTCTACAGCATGGACTTGGATGTGTCAACCCATATGACATGATACGTGTTAAAAAATAAACAATATACGAGTTGAATTTACACTTTTTAATTTGCTGTGTATGAAATAAATAACTAATGTAAGCGATTGAGATAATTCTGATATTTATTTATAATTCTTCACACATTTGCATGTTTTGGCATGGAAAACTGAAAAAAAAAAAAATTCATTCAATTCATCTGTTTAACAGTTACCAAAACATAAAACATGTAACCAGGCGTTTTTGATGCAGATGCAATTTGCACATGACACACCAGAAATCAGATGGGTTTTCTGGTTTTACTTATCTGATTTTACTGACTAAATTTGAGACACAGTTTAGAAGACACATAAAAAGGGTTCAAACTACATTAATGAGGCTTGGAGCTAAAACCCACCACTGGACCATGGAACCTACTTATTGCTGTGCTAACTTAGTTTTATAAAGGGTAGGCAATATGGTAATACACAATGAAAGGAAGAATACTTTGAAAATGTATTTAATTACAGAATATGGAATGCCTGCTTAAAATGTATTCTGTAATGTATTCTGATACATGGTCCAGTAAGAGTACTGCATTCTGAATACCAAGAATAGGCCTACTTTTACATTGAGTTGCATTTAAAGTATAGTGTAAAAATGCAAGATCAAATTCAAAACTGCTTTATGTTTGTGTATTTCCTGTTACTCATTGGAGATGGAAAAAGATCACTCATGCACTCATCACAAGAGCATTGGTTTCCATTTTTCTCACTGATTATGTGCACTTTGAAGCTTAAATTACATTATCAGACTTAGACTTAGACAAATTTCATAGATCCACAAGATTTGCCCCTGTGGTAAAACGCTGACTTAAAGTCTCATGCCAAACTCAGAATCTCTGTCACAGTTCGATTTAAGCAGCAATTTGCATCAAACTTTTATGAATTTATTTTTTATACAGGCGCTAGGAGAGGTATTCAGATGTAGGGGCCAAGGAACAGACAGGCAAATATTGTACATGTGTTTGGACATGTACCTAGTACATATATTCAGTTTAGGGTGACCAGACGTCCCTATTTACATCACAGTTTTATACAAGAAATGTCCCAGGTGTCCCTATTTTTAACCAATCTGATTCCTGCCGACAGTAAAGAGAGGCAAAAATTGCCAGTTGTTTAGGTAAAATACAGAAAAGCTGCTTAAAAATGACCAAAACACAAAGAAATTGTGACTATACAGACTCGCATGTTAGTCATGAATAGACCGAGTGCAGAACTGTTTTCCTTAACTATGCACTCGTTTCACACTTTTATTATTACCAACCACCCCAAACCGGGGGTATCCCAGTTTTTAATTTTGAAAATCTGGTCACCCTAATTCAGTTACTTCCCAACACTGCTAATAAACACTGCAGAAAAGCTGATCCGTAAAGCCGGTCATGTGATCGGCTGTGAGCTGGAGATATTTATCACAGTGAGGGACAGGAGGACAATGGACAAACTGCTCTCCATCATGGACACTCCTGCTCACTCACTGCACCAGACTGTAGAGCGTCAGAGGAGCTCTTTCTCCAACAGGCTCCTACAACTCTGCTCAAACAGTGAGAGACACAGGACTACATTCACACCATACTCCATACAACAAGTACAACAACACACCTTTATGTAACAGACTGTACAACAACTCACCCTTATGTAGTGGATAACCCTATGTCCTGTCAATAATCCTATCATTGTTCCTATGTCTTCCTATGACCTCTTGTATATAGGTTTTATTAGAGATTTTATATTTTATTACTTATTTTTCTATTTTATTTTGACTTGTACATATACATTTATGTAATTATGCCTTATTTGACACGTGTCTCTTGCTATCTTTTTTGCTATTTATTTAGAATGAATTATTACCATTCATATTTTTTACTCTGTTATTATATTATATTGTGATGAGTGAGCTAGTGTCCAATTAATTTCCCTTGTGGATCAATAAAGGTTGTCTAAAACACACACACACACACACACACACAAAACAAAATATTAAAACAAGGACACACCTGGGTTGGGATGGTTGGTATAAATAAACTCATGAAAAGAGCATGTAAGGTTGTGCATTCTCGTGTCAGTCATAATCTGAGGGGCTTCTGTCGCTGCATATTGTTGCTTGATGGTCATTTGCAAACACTGATTTCTGTATTTTGGCTAAACAAATGACAATTTATGCTTCTCTTTACTGTTGGCAGGGATCAGATTAGTCAAAAATCCTATAGACCTATTTTAATCCTGGTTTAGAATTGATGAAGTCCTGGTTTAATCATAGTTTAGTCCACCACAGTTGAACATGTATTACAAGTTAAATGTCTTTGAATGTGTCGAATATCCAATATCAAACCAATTCATTTGCGGTGTTTAGTCCTTGTTTAGATCAAATTGGTCAAAAATAGGGACACATGGGGCATTTCTTGTATAAAAATGGGACAAATCACAAATGTGATGGGACAGGGGACACATGGCTCAAAACTAGGACTGTCCCGGGTAAACAGGGATGTCTGGTCTCTCTAGCTCTCATGTGGCAAGGTCAAGGCCCACGGACCACATCCGGCCCGACAAGCCATTTTATGTGGTCCACAAGGAGTTTAAAGGTATAATTTATTATTATGTTGTGACTCTGTGCCGCTACTACATCTCCCACAATGCACCGCAGTTGTTTCCCGTGAAGTGACTGCATCTCGCCACTAGAGAGGCCGAGAAAACTCATAAAATTTCCCCAAAAATATCCAAGAAAAGAAAAATTGATAAAAAAAAAAAAGAAAAAAAAAAAATGTATACAGAAGGACAGCTATTTCATGAATGTTACTGAAGGAGTAATGTAAATGTTTTTACTTAAACCTTTAAATCCAATCCAATCCACTTAATTTCTACAGCACATTTCATAAACAAAACAGTTTCCCAAGTGCTGCACAATACAGATAAAACATATCCAATAGAAATATAAAGTAAAGCTTTACTTAACGCCACTGGTCCTCATTAAGACAATAAAACTAGTAAAATCAAGTAAGAGCAAGAATACCAGTAAATAATAAAAAGGTTAAAAAACAAAAACAAAAAACATAACATAAAAATAAACAAAATTAATAAATATGAAATGAAAAATCAAATACAGACTTTTACAAATTTGTAACAGTTACAGCTACAGTTGCAGTCTTAACTTTACAACCGGCTCTTTGATGACAAACATGACCCAAATGTGGCCCTTGGTGAAAATGAGTTTGACACCCTTGCTCTAGCTAATACACAGTGCAGAAAGCAAGGTCTATAATCTAGAATTAAAAATTGTTAACCACCTGACTTCTCTCTCTGTCTTTCTTCCCCTCTCTCTACCCGTCCCTCCCTCCCTCCGTCCCTCTCTCCTCCCTCTCCTCTCGGCTGTGGTTCGCTCGGCCCTCCTCTGTGACATTCCACACATGCGGAGAAGCAACAAGCTACCGAACCAGCAGCAACAGCTAGCAGCCACCAGCTCTCCGTGAGGGACAGGGCGTACAATGCAAAAGTTTATAAACACGGATATTCTGACATGAACGGACTAAAAAAACACGTTTGCTGAAATCCAAGGCGACCGTACAAACATGGATTGTGGCTGGCTTTCATAATATGCGGTAACTTGGGTAATTTGGAGCTTCAAATGTGCGAAAAGTCGCTCGGTCTCGCTTCGTCGTTCAACAAGATGGCAGCAGGAGCAGCGTTGCAGGATTTGGCTGTGTGGGTCCTCGTTGCTAGCCTGTTCTTCGACGCTTTTGGTGATATATATAATCGTTGTTTTTGAAGGTATGTGACTTAACACCACAGTGTACTCGATAAAACATTGAATCGTGTTAGTTTGGTGTCGTATATATTTATAAACCAGCAGGGCTGTATCGGTCGCTAGCGTGTTTGCTAAATGTTAAGCTAACTACCCAACTTCAGTTCCTTTTCTGACACTGATACGGCTACGTCAACCGGTGTTTTCCGTGTTTGTTGAGAAGCATTCACATTTAGTTTTGCTTTTTCTTTCTGTTTTATTGCTGTTTTATCTGACCTAAAAGAAATGTTATACTACCCATTATAAAACACGAAAGGCGTAAGCATAAACAACTCCCCGATTGGACTCTGTTGTAGTGCATGCTTTTACACTTAAAAATGATTTAAATGTTGTACACATTGAGGATAGATATACATCCGTTATTTGGGTGGCTGTCACGTACAACATAAGTTTCAACAGGTGTCTTGCCTGTTGTTGCCCTTCCCCCAGGGGCGTAACTAAAGACAGAACAGATAGTACTCTTACACAGACGTCCGTGTAGTTTTAGGAGCATAGATCAAACAGCCAGACTGAACCACTTTCTGACACACACTTCCACCGTAAAACAAAAACACAACAATCATAATAATCAATATGGACGTCAGGATTGCGTGAACATAAAATAGTTAAATTTCCCCCGAACATAAATGCGCACTTCTGCACGCACTTTGGTTTATCAGTAACGCAGTAATGTGTTTTGAGTTGTCAGAGTTTGAGACCTTGGAAACATGACCACAAACACACACAGCTCCATGTCACTGCTCTCCATTTCAGGCCGGGCTCTCGTGGCCCTGAGGGTGTCAGGCTTCAGAGTTTGACATTAAAGCAGATGAAGTAGGAGCTACGTCAGCCCTGATTGTAAAGACAAATAGTTTTACCTGTATGGTTCTTGAAATTACATTTATCTTACAATAGTGGCTAATGGCCTACGTGGCTCACACTGAAACGGGAAGCTCATCAGATGTGGTTTTAGACTTCTGTATACTTGGATAAGTGAGAAGTCAAGTGTAGACAATTTGTATGAGTGGTGTATCTGGTAAAACCCATCAGCCCTGATTATGAGAAATGTTTGAGTGGCGCACCCGTCTGCTTGTCTGAGCCTGTGTTTGACAGTGTCACTAGCTGGCAAACACCGCTTTCTTCTCAGTAAAACCTTTCTATTCTTTATAGGAAACATACGGATGGTTTGGCAACTGCCCGGGTTTGTCATTTTGACAATTACATAACTGTAACAAAAACCTATTCATCCAATAACTTGTATAGAAAATGTACAACAGTCAACATAATCAGCATACACTATATGATAATTATTTTCTTATTTTATATTTCATTCACCTACTTGGTTATGTCATAGCTTATCTATTCTCTGTAAATGTCACTAAAGTAGTCGTACTAAACTGATATTTGTTTTTTTATTTTGAAGTGTGTGTATATGTAAGCTCTGTGACTAGTCATTATCTTATGGTGCATCATTGCCTCTGACGTAGTACGTACTTTGTGGTTTATGTTTGTGTGAAACTGACCTCTTGTGTAGCGTGTGGGGACAGGCCAGATTTGCAGTGGGCTTCCCCTGGCTCCCATTTCAACATGCAAGTTCTCCATTTCAGTAACGTTGACATTAAACCAATATGGCCAATTTGACAAAGACTGTACTTATCTGAAAACAGTAGAATAGAATTCTTGTGTACTCATACTGGTTCTACAATACTTCATTTTGTTTGACCACATTTGGATAAATCTTAAATAGATGTTCAAATATTTAATTGTATTTTTTTTACAGGTATGGCCTCACAAGTCTTGCTCTACCCATCACACCTGCACTCAACTCAGACAAGTGCCTTAGGAACCAGCAGTAGCGGTACCGGCAGACAGCCAAGTGAAGCCCATCGTGGTAACAACACCAGCAGCAGAGCCTTTCAGCATCGACCCCCACCCAAGACCTATGTGATCGGTGTGAACTACGGTATCGCATATCCCAACAACGTTATTCCATCAGGTGCAGAGCCTGGAGGCCAGCAAGGAACGTTGGACATCTCAGACAGAGAGCAGTGGGCCTTGAACACAGCTGGATTGGAAACACAGGAGAGGTCACAAGAAGTGGAAGAAGTTGGAAGTCAAAGGGCTAGTGTAGAGAGAGTGGGTTTGGACTGTGGTCTGCTGAGGGGAGCGTGTGTCAGAACAGTGAAAGACGAGGCCACTAACAGGCTGCAGACCAGGGGAGCATATGTTCGTCTTGTAAACCCAGGTACCACACAGAGATGTGAGCAGAAGCCAGGGAAAGCTGGAGAACAAGCAGAGGACAAGAGCTGTGCTGGAGGCATGCAGATAGTGGAGGAGGTATCTGCTGTGCTTCCGGCCGTGGTGACCATGTTACAAAGCAGCTCGGGGAACAATGCAGACACTGTGAGAGGAGGGGGTGAGGGGCTGCCGCTCGCTCAGCACAACAGGGGGAATGGCACTGGAACGGCAGCAGACGGGACGGAGTTTAGGCCCAAGGGGAGTAATGAGGCGGGGGCTGGAGCCACGGTGACCAGGACAGGAACTGGAGATGGGGACTATCAGTTGGTCCAACATGAGGTTTTGTGCTCCCTTAAGAACAGTTATGAGGTCCTAGAGTTCTTGGGTCGCGGGACTTTTGGTCAGGTAGTCAAGTGCTGGAAGAGAGGAACCAATGAAGTTGTGGCGGTTAAAATCCTGAAAAACCACCCATCCTATGCACGGCAGGGACAAATTGAAGTGAGTTTTAAGTCCATCTACCAGTTTTTTATGCCTTAAAATTGTTCTTCATTAATGCTATATACTATGTTTTGTTTATCCATGCCAGGTTGAGATATTGGCCAGGTTGAGCAATGAGAATGCAGATGAGCACAACATTGTGCGTGCACTGGAGTGCTTTCAGCACCGCAGTCACACCTGCTTGGTATTTGAAATGCTGGAGCAAAACCTTTATGACTTTTTAAAACAGAACAAGTTCAGTCCACTGCCACTGAGAATCATCAGGCCCATTCTGCAGCAGGTAAAACCACTTTTCTATCTGATCTGTTTTTGCTGCATATGCTCTTGTTGTCCACACTTGTGTGTTAACCCTGGATCCTTGAGTGTTAAATCACCAAAGGCCCAGTGGCATGTAAATAATTAATCTTCTGTGTATAGATAACCTGAAGCACTGGCCATTGTAGATTATGCTGTAAACAAAACAGAGTCGTATTCCTCCACCATGAACTTTTTCTTTTGCATTAAGCAGTGAGGTCAGCTGTTGGGGATGTAGACCTGTATTCACAGTGTTTCTCTTTAACCTGATAGGTGGCCACAGCTTTAAAAAAGCTCAAGTGTCTGGGTTTGATTCATGCGGACTTAAAACCAGAGAACATCATGCTGGTGGACCCCTCCAGGCAGCCCTACAGAGTTAAAGTCATTGACTTTGGCTCTGCAAGCCATGTCTCTAAAGCAGTCTGCTCCACATACCTCCAGTCCAGATACTACAGGTAAGTGCTGGAAACTCATATCACACATGTACTACATATGTGAAAATATAAAATGGAGAAGTCACATTTGTTATTTTAATATTATACACATATAGACAAATACAAATTGGCCAAAAACACAAGTGACACTGGGGTGGTGCCATTTGAATCAAAACCAGTTGTCACTGATATTAGTTAGAGTTATTTTTATGGATGTGTCTACAGCCGGTCATGTGGCAGTGCAAGCACGCTGTTTGGACATGAGTTTAAACAAATTGGACCAGTTTTTGTGTTGGTGCTTTGCAGCTGATGTCATCAACATTCCCTGGGGGTGTGATGCTAATGTAGGCACTGTTCTGTCAGAAGCTCTATTAAACTTGAATCTCTTTATTTTCACACAATCTGACCAGAAAGATGTAGGTAGAATTACAACATGTGAGATAATTTGTGCTGTTAAACAAGTCCCTCTCAAATAGTATTCAATCCATTTGCATTTTTTCTTGAGTTTTCAGTCAATCTTAAAAGTTTTAAACAGCGTTTGTTAATGTTTGCATTGTTTTACCTACTGAACATTCCACATGTCACTGCAAAGTATCAATTATAGAGCACTCTGTCTAGTTAATTTTCATTATGATAAAGCCTTAATTATATTTTTTTAAAGAACATTTTCAAATAGAAAATTGTGAACAGGCAATACAAGGAAAAAAAAATATATATTTTTTTGTCATTTTGTACAACCCTAAGTAAAAGTGGTGGGTTTAAGAAGTACAAAATGTTCTGAGATAAGATTTACGGTGTACAGTTTCTTCAGTTTTTGGTTACTAAACTTTGCACGGCTAGTCCCTTATGTCGCCTGTTACTTCAGGGTTCTTTGCTTCTGCCAGAACATATGTATTTTTGGACCCATGCCAGTCCCTGAGCATGCCCCTAATCTCTGTTCACATCGACACGCCCAAAACTTTGAAGCTGTTGCATAATGTGCGGAAGAACTTGGAAAGTGTTTATGTTCAGAGAGCTGCAATATAGTCATTTACCTTAGAATCAAATATAAATGTACCATTTTCAACAAATGTTGTGTTTTACTATTAGAAACTTTACTTCTAAAATTTAAAATGTTTAAGTTATCATGAATTATCATCAGGAAATCAAACCAGTGAATGGTACATCAAGTTCTTTGACATTTATTTCTATATCACTTGTTCCTGTGTAAAGCAAATTTAATATCTTTTACATCAGGAGTACTTTTTACTCCTGCAAGTTGCAGCAGGCTCATAGGTTCAGTGTGCTGGGTAAGCAATTGGAGTGTTTAAACATTATGCAATCTGCTGTTGAGATACTGGGTATGTCTCCTAACGCGCACACCCTCTTTTCTCCTGACTTACTTTTAAACATCCACCTCTATTTGAGTCGATGAGCAGAGGAAAGTCCGTGGCATGCAAATTCCAGTACAGACTTTGATGTACAATTTTGACGAAAGCGCTTCATACCCCCCTCTTCTGCAGTCGGGGTGTACACTGAGTTGTTGCATAACGTGAGGGCCTTGCTCTGCTGTTGACCCGCTTAGATATGTGTGCAAGTTCTCAGGCCTATTTGTCCTATAAATTTCCAGCATTGAGATCATAGAGCAGTAATGTGGTCTTTCAGGACACATAAACAAATGGAAGAAGAATGTGGTATGTAAAAATACATGGAGACATTCCTGTGAGTGCTGGGCTGTGCTCATATGCCCCTGTACTTACAACAGCTGCCAAGGCAAAGCACACACGTTACAAAATGTTCCCTACAACTCAATTCCCTTTAATGACTGGCTGATATACTCTCCACATAGCCTGTGAATGTTACATACTTCAACTAAAATTGAGCTTGACCCAACCTGCTATCAAATCTATCTGTCAACCTGGTTTCATTCTGGTTTCACTTATGTTTAAGAAGCTAATACAGTAAAGCAACTTTCATAACCACAAAGCCCTCTCTTCCGGTATCCACTGTTTAAGTTTGACTTCCCTTTAGTTTGTTTGTGTACTGGCGCTGTCCTGAACACGTCATTGGATGTTTGTTTAGTGTTTGGTATCTGGGGGGTAATGGTGATGATGTTCTCAGCTATGTAATTACAACTACCATTTTTTACTTCTAAACCACAACCTTTGCACTGGACATTATTTACAACAAAGTTCTTTTCCTGCATAGATGTGTTTTTGATATTTTAAAATTTGCATTCTGTTTGTCCAAATAAATTTTTAGTTGCTGTAGTCGTACAGGAAACCCTCAGAAAACACAGGGCAGTATTAGTACACTCGCAAATGTTAAAGACTTAAGCCTTAACTTCCTGTTCTACACATGCACACAGGCCTTATTCTAGTCTGTGTTTTCCATCTACTCATGGGGTCTAAGGGTTTTGTGACAAAACTAATATATAATACTAATATAGATATACTTATATATGGACATATCAGTGTGAGGTAGTGCTGTACTTTTGTAGCATGAAATTTATGGCTTGCAGACTTTGTTTGTCTGAGGTTCAAATGGCTGAGTGAGTCACTATGTGGTCAAAGTAGCCTATACACAAATATATATTTAAAGAAGAGGGTGTTTTGAAAGTGTTTGTATAGTTGTGGCCTGGTTTGCCATCACTTTATTCCTACTTTCAACTACTAGTGCATAAAAGTTTGGGTAGCCTTCCTAGTCTGTTGTACACATTAAGTAATAGGAAAAACATAAGAGATTGTACCTTTGTTTAGAAGTCATGCATATGATTTACAGCTGATGTGGGCTTTTTTATCAAGCTGTTTTTAAATCTCAATTTTGAAGGTGCGATGAACGTGTTTTTTTTCCCTAACACTTGACTGTAGCAGGGTCTTTCGGGGGCTGTTAAAAGCTCGTCACGGTCTAATGTGTGGTTGCTATGGTAGTGTGACACAGTGGAGCCTGGTGAGGTGACTGTCAGTGCGCGGTGGTGACGTCAAACTACCTCCCACAAAGAAAATGGAACACGGCAATGTGAATAATTCAGCGAAGCCGCAGATCAGGTGAAGCAGCCAGGCTTATGTTATGTGCTGCTAACAGATTTGGGAAGTTTTTTGTCATAAAAATGTACCAAGTATATAGGAAATCTGAGGAAATGTGATAGTTTGATCGTGTTAGCAATGCGTGTTCCTTCATAACTTAAATCAGAATGTCCTAACTTTTCTTCAGTAACTGAAACAAGGTAACTGGAGGGACACAGACAGGCTGTCAATACAATGAATCATTCAAATGGGTGCATTAGGCACAGGTCTGACCATGCCTCTACACCATTATCCTGGGTTGGAATTTTAATATCAAGGCTTGTCTCTCATAAAACATTTGTATATTGTCTATTATTATCACTAGTAGTTCTTTAATGTAGAAGACACATTTTCATCTTGTCTTCCATGCGAAATGTCAGCAGAATGTCCTTTTTGACTTTTGAGTGAAATAAGAAATTAAATGAAGGCTAGAAGTTGGCGAAAGTCATGTGTTTATAGTTGTGTTGCTTCTAAAATATACTTAAGTGTGTTGTACAAGTTAGTGGTTTTAAAAACTTGCACAAAACTGAGGAAGTCCGTTTCAAGGCTCTTTGTACGTTGCATAACATGAATTCCCGTAGAAAGACCAGAAGGAAATTGCAAGTGTAATTTCCTTTTGAGCAGAGAAGCCCTGCATTATTGGAGCTGAATGTAGCCTCTTTGCACACACATGTTCTATGTGTGTCTGCTGAATAATGACTGATGGCCCCATTTATCGCCTTGTAATACTGTTACATTATGGTCCAGCATCCGGCTGTTGCTTGGCAACAGTCATTTCCCTTGTGGTCGTCACAGCATAGGTTGCTATTTGGAGTGCTGTTGCTCAGCTGTCCAGGCCCTTAGCCTATTGTTTTTCTGCTCTGGTACTCTGCACTGCCAGATTACAGGCTCTGTGCGTAAAACACAAAGTCCACTTGTTGCTAGAGATTGTGCAGATGGATCAGCACTGTTTGTCAAAAATTTCAAATTCACTAATTACTAAAGAGTTTACAAGACATCCCCTGATCTTGCTTTAAGCACCATATTGTAGTGTAAATATATATATTGTTTTTTTGCTTAGTTTTTTTTTCCAAGACAAGATTAACTTTGTGAATCCTAGTATGTTCTTGTTCCAACTCTTTTCCTCTATTATTGATGAACTTGTATAAAATAAAACCACCGTCTAGGATGCAGCCAGCAGAAGAAACATTGCTTAATGGACACAGAAGAGTCTTTCTTTGTTCCAAATGAGTTCACTTTGTATGAAATTGTGTAGTGTTTTTTGTCATCACCTGTTTTATTCTGTACGCACTTCATCTGAGTGCCTGCAGTCATTCAGCTCCTACATGTAACCTTTTGTGCCCCTTCTTTTCCCTGCAGGGCTCCAGAGATTATTTTAGGCCTGCCATTTTGCGAGGCCATCGACATGTGGTCACTGGGCTGTGTGATAGCGGAGCTGTTCCTGGGCTGGCCCCTGTACCCCGGAGCCCTGGAGTACGACCAGGTAACATTCCTCACACTCCCAAGAAGTGGAGTTGCACTCACAACACATGGCTGTGCTGCTCCACTGGGGAGACACCTCTGATTATTTTCAGACCAAATTATTTATATTTGAGAATAACATAAACACCTTTTAGCCTTTCTTTACTTCCTAGTGAACTTTTACTTGACCTCACTGTCTCTCATAAATTCTATCTCACATGTCCTTAAAGAAGCACATGGAAGTCTGTTGTTTCTAATAACTGCGCATTTCTGACCTATAAATGAAACAAATAGCATTTAAGCATTAAACGGTGATTAAACAAATAATAAACTACAGTTTATGATGGTTGATTTTAGGCTATACTTCCTGTCCAGACTGAGAAAGTAAAAATAAAGTTGATTTGTGTGGAGTGGATGTTCAGCCTCTTGTGGGTCACATGACAAAGGGCACTGACAGCTCTGTTGTACCCTGGGCCATACCAGGGCACACACTGAGCTCCACATGCTGCACTATGCCAAGGCTCGTAGCAGTTCCACTCGGCACAGCAAAATGTATTTATAAACATAAGCCTGATGGGAGACATGGAGTGGTCATTGGGTGCCCCATCAGCACGTTTTGAGTCCAGTGCCCTCTGGCCGCTCACATGTTTTTTCTAGGCTGTAGTCTGTGTTCACACACACACAATGTCTAATAACGTTTTAGGATTTTGTGTTGGGGCTTCTGGAAAGCTGTGGTTTTTAAAGGCAGCTGGTCTGTTCCACCTCAACAGAATGTATAATTGAAACCACTGTTCTTTTCAGAGGCTATTCACTTGGTAATCTGATGCTATATCCTCCCAAATGTTTTAGAGTTTTGATTTAAAGGTGAAGGTTCAGGACCGCACAGCACAGCATTGGATAACAAGCAATTTCTATACCAGGCTTTGGATCAAATCCAAAAGTGTAAAGTGTACGCTCACAGTGTAGCCGCATCATTTCCAAGAATAACTCATTACATTTCCTGATGCTGTAATGCCTTTTTGAATGGCACAATGTGTTTGAAAGGATACTGACCTCTTTAAGCTATTATCTTTAGTGCCCCTTTTGGAGTGCGAGAGATAGAATTCCTCAACTTACCATACAAGTATGTTCAGTGCTTGTATGTACTAATCCCCTTCTGTCATTGCCCAGATCCGGTACATCTCTCAGACTCAGGGTCTGCCCGGTGAGCACCTGCTGAACAAGGGGACCAAGACAACTCGCTTCTTCGCCAAAGAGTCAGACTCTCCCTACGCCTCATGGAGACTAAAGGTACACACACTCGCATTATGTCACATATTCAGGTGCAAATTAAATCATCCTTTTAAAAGGACAATGGGTTGTGGCCTTCACATTTCTCACAAAAGGTCTGCTTTCTACATATTTCGGCCTCTTGATTATAGCTCTAAATCATGTAACAGGAAATTCCAAAACAAATCAGGACATACCAAACAACTAGGGCAGTGAAATACGGAAATGTAAAGGTTTAGTCTGCTGACTGAACTCGGAAAAATAAATAAATAAATAAATACATAAAATAGAAATATTTTTAGGACCTTTATATCTTTTTGGAACTACATTTTCCTCCCATAGAAATATATATTTCTTAATATAAATATTAATGGATTTCAATCTGACTGAATAAAAAAAGTCGAACCCCTAAAATTTACCAGTCCTGATTTGTGTTTTTCCTTCAGACAACAGAAGAACATGAGAAGGAAACGGGGCTTAAATCCAAAGAGGCCCGAAAGTACATCTTCAGCTGTTTGGATGACATAGCACATGTAAGTAAAGGCAGTGCTCCACATTCTCCTCCCCAATGTTTACAAGGCTCGTACTTATCAACCATGATTTTGTCTTCCAGGTGAACTTGGTGCTGATCCCTGACAATAGTGACATGCAGGCGGAGAAGGCCGACCGAAGAGAGTTTGTGTCTCTGCTGAAGACCATGCTTCTGATCGATGCGGAGGACAGGACTGTTCCCTCCAATGTGCTCAATCATCCCTTTCTCACCATGACTCACCTGCTGGACTACCCACACAGCAGCCAGTAAGACTACACTCTCTCTACGCCCAATCCACTGTGTTGATACTTTGCAGCTGATGTCATCTACAGTCCCTGGGAGTGTGATGCTAACTGTAGACACTGCTCTGTTTGAAACTCTGTTACTCAAGTTAGACTTTAATCTGAGCTTTCTTTTAGTACAATCTGACAATAAAGAACTAACTTAGCTGGAACTTACAACAGGTGAGCTGATTTGTGCTGTTAACAAGTCCCTCTCAATTGGCTAGTAGCAGTTTTTCACTCAGTCACTCTCACCTTTTTCTTGTAAATCAAACTCCTAAACAGGACCATGAACCCACATTGACATTGACATAATCTCAGGCTGCTGAAAATGTTGTCTTTTAATCAATTTTGTATGTAGTTTTCAGACTTGGACTTCAGACTCTTAAAACAGTTTTTTCTAATATTTGCATTGTGTCACCATGGTAACTCCTTCATGTATATCTTATGGTGCATGGTGTCATTGCAAAATATCAATAGTTTCTCTTCATCTTGAACAACAATAATACCTTTTCCTTCTACTTCTTCTTCAGTGTACAGTCCTCTTTCCGTGTCATGGACATGTGCCACAGTCGGGTCAGTGGTGTGTTTGATGCTTTGAACCAGAACACCATCCATTTCTCCAGGCCTCCCGTGGCCCCAGCTCCCTCCTCCATCCCCCTTGGCTACAATAACATACCAGTCCACACTCAGGTAGGAAGTACTCACTGTGTTTGCAAAGTTTCATATTCACTTTTCCTTCTACATTTATTTTATATGTATTATTTATTGTAGGGTATTTTGTTTGTGATGTAATCTTGTTTTCCTGACCCGTCAATGTTTACTTTTTACTTTTAGACTATAACCCAATCGGCACCATCTGTATTGCATCCTGGGTTAGCTTTATCAACTACAAACAACCAGTTTGGCTGCAGTGACTCATTTCCACCTGCCCTTCTCCTCTGTCCTCCAACAATGCAAGGTAAAAACGCCTAGAAGATATAATCCTAAGTTTAACCGTTTGTTTGTTATTTGAACACATTTAATTTCTTCTAGGAAACCTTAACCAACCAGCAGGGTATACTGTTCCTATGGTAACTCAGGCCCCACCCATACAACCGCTGCCAGTGAGGCCAGGCGTGATAGCCCAGGTAAAAACCTCTATTGCTTCTATTTGTCAAGTTGTAATTATCTCCATTATAAATACTACATTTTTTTTCTCTCTTTACAGCAGGCTTGGTCAAGTCGGGGGCAGCAGCTCCTGGTCCCTGCAGCCTGGCAACAGATGACTCCAGTTGGACCTCCTCCCTCTCATCCCCCTCCCCCTCCGCCATCCTCTCTCAACGACACAAACACATCTGGCCCCCAACGGATTAGTGATTGGGGGTAAATTACAACCCCAAATTTGCTTATTTTGGAAATGATGGTGTATATGACAAATACTGATAATATTTTATTTTTCATTTGTTGTAGGAAAGTGCGTCCTCACAGTAGCCATTATAACTCAATGATTCAACAGTCTCTACTCACAAATCAGATACCCGCCCATCAGCCTATCAATGTTGGAATAGCCCATGTAGTGTGGCCGCAGCCCACCAGTAAGCGAAATCGGCATAATCACAATAACAGGTAGAATGTTTACATTTTAATAAATATAATGTCTTCTACTATTTATCTAACAAATTTTTACATTTACATTTACAGAAATCTCTCCCAACACAGTAACATTCACACATCAGTTTGTCGCACTCCAAAGATGGCTGACGTAGTGGGGCAAATAAACCCAGGAAGAGGGCAGTCTTCACAGAGGGATGTTCCACAGGTGGAGAATAAGGTACCAGTCGCTCAAAACACCAGTGAGGAGGAAGAGGAGCCTGTGAAGAATGTGACGACGTGTAAAGAAGTGGTACCGGACAGCAAAAGGCATTTGGACAGTCAGCAGCAGAGAGATGTGGCCGTTCTGATGGGGGACACACCCAGCCCTGCGCCCAGTGTCATCAGCATCCACAGTGAGGCCACAGACGGAGAAGAGGGCGAGGAGGAGGAACGCCAGATGTGCCGTCTGAGAGGGTAAGCACAAATATAAAAGTGTTTTAAAAAGACACAATGTAAATTTTTCTGGTACAAAGCCTTGCTTGTCTCCATGAAGATGTTATAACCTTGCATTTATTTAATTATTGGAGTTTTTACTACTTAAAAAATACTTTAAAATACGTACTGTCTCATGGTGAGGGGGTTGCCTCACCAAGTCTCCATGGAGAAAGTTCTATTTAATGCCATACTGTGCACCATTGCATGCAAAGCCATAACATCTCCATGGAGATAAGCAGTAGGTGGCGTTGGTGGGGGGGACACATTTTCAAGGGTGCTTAGATGCAATGAAAACACATACTTTTAACAAAAGTAAGAAAATGAGGTCATATGCCTGTTCTGTTAACAGGTGCAAAGAGGAGTGTGTCTGTGAGGCTTGTAGAAACACCAGTCTGTCTATGGAGAGGGTGTGCTCTCTCAGCAGCCCAGAGAGCAGTCTCAGCACAAGCTCATTTGCCTCCAACTCTGTTCAGTCCAGCCCATCTGCCTCCCCATGCAAGAGACCCAACAGGTGAGAAACATAAGTCACATTTCAGATGTGGAAATGCCCTTTGTGCCATTCTGACCCATGTGACTGCTCTGTCTGCAGCATGTCAGAGGATGACGGTCATGAAAGTGGCTGCGAGACAGTCGAGGGGTCACCCACATCTGATGCTTCAACTTCTCCACGTGGCAACAGCTCCTATCATTACCTGGACAGCAACAGTAATCATAGCAACTGCTCCACTTTGGCTGCTGTGGTGGCACCTCTCTCTGCCCCAACTACGCAGGACAGGACGCCTCGGGGTGTGAGGACGATGGTGGTTCCCCCGATGAGAGTTCACAACAACAACATGCGTGGGACGGAGGAGCAGGTTCACAGAATGGGTCAGTATCTTCATTTGACTGTATTTGACTGCAAGTATTTAATTACAAGTTTGCAGTAAACGTTATTTACTTTGATTCATAATATCTCAAACTAAACATTAACAAATATAGTATAGAATTAATTTCATCTAACTACACTTCAGTGATGAGTTGTGTTTTGGACATGTTTACTTTTCAGGTCAAATGGAAGAAGTAGGGCCTTACCGCCCTCTAGTGGCTCATAGAGGCCTAAACAGGTGATCGCAGACACTAGCAGAGAACTAGAAGAGCTGCTACCAAATCTGTCACAGCTGCACATTTTGCAGTACACCTTCAGTTTATGGTTGATTTTGGCTCAGATACTTTACTGAGGGGCACTGCAATTTCTCATGCACTGTGCAATTTGGCAGGAATTCTTTTCAATGCCTAGAAATGTATCCTTGTCATTATAGCTTACAATAAAAGAAAAAAGATTTTTATTAAAATGTTTTCAAAAAAATTTTTTTAAGCGATCTTGTGAAGCAAGTCCAATGAAGGAGGATGCATTTCATTTGGTATCAGCCTCCTGGTTTCTCTGGTGGTTCTTGTAGCGACGTTTATAAAGTGGAAGTGGACTATTTGATTTTCTTCAGCTCAACTGTTCCTGACGGCTATTCTGAGTGCCAATACTTGTGTGTTTTGGGTTAGTTTGAAGCCAGACTTTACAAAGCTTAAGTATTAAGTGCATGTGTTTGACATTTCTTTTGTCTTTACTCCTCCTCTGCGTCGTACAGGTTTTTTGGACTAAAGGCGCCATTTATTTTTATACTTTGTCCTTTTATTAGAAGTACTCACTTTGTCTTGTCTTTTTTAGCATCAGAGTCCTGGTCCCGGTCCAAAGGGCGTTGCAACCTCACAGGACAGCAGAGCAAGCCCTCGTCAGGCCCCCTCCTCCCCCCCGCCCCTCACCTGTCCCGGCAGCAAAAGGTTTCAGGCCAGCAGCCGCACCTCTTGGGCTTTGGGCAGGTCAGTTCTGTTTGATTTTTCTCCTTTTCAAATGTTACTGGATGAGTGTATAGAACATTCGTTGTAAACCTTCCTCCTTGTGTTTGAACATGGTGTGGGCTGTGCTCCCAGTAGTCTTGAATGTGATATTTTAATGGAATGACCCAGAGCCTACAGTGTGATGTGTGGGTGGTGCAATATTCTTTAGTAACAAAACTCCTGCATGAGTTAAGTTTTAAACCCAGTGGCATTATGATGTGAGCCGCTGGAGTCAGATATCTCTTCAGCACTCAGTTTGGCTGTATTTCACAATCACTTACTCTGCAAATTCTATAATATTGTTATTTTTGTAAACCTAGAGAGCCAGCCTCTCCCAATTCAAATGCAAAAGAGTCTAGGTCCAGGCAAATACTTTTGTGACAGTTTAATCACAGCTGTCTTGTTAAAGTTCACATTTTTCAAATCTTGTATCATTCAAAACAAAATGTAGAACTTCTTTTACCGCAGAATGGCATGTAGTGTTTTGCCCACTGATTGAAGTCTGCACTTTACTTGTAAGCACCCTGTTTGTTTTGTTTCACTGTGTGTTTCTCTGATTAATCATGTTACCTGGACCCACACTATGCACATGTTGTTAAACTGTAAGAAAAGTGTGTAATCTTAACTCTGTTTCACTGTACGTGTTTTTGGACCACAGGTGCAGCAGTACGGTTCCAACCACAGCAAAGAATGGAACGGCAACTTTGGGCCCCTGCGACCTCATGCCTTCATCACCCCAAATGTCCACACGCACACTTTCACACACCTGTCCCACAGCAGCCCCACACACACCTCTGCCCCCACCCTACTGTCCTACCCGCCCAGCGCCGCCCACCACCCCCACCATATCCTGCCCTCTCGCCCTCCCCCTCTCCTCCAGCACAGCTACGGTCTGTCCCATCCACAGGGAGGCGCCATAGTTCACCAGGTGACCCTTGGCATCAGCACCCATCCGCACCACCAGCCCGCCTATGCCCCCCACCCGCACCAGCAACCGGCGTACGCCCCTCACCCGCACCACCAGTTCAAACCCCCTTTCCCACCCCCCGGCGCCCACCCTTACATGGCGTCACCGGCCACGGCGTACACCGGCTTTCCTCTGAGCCCCACCAAGCTCAGCCACCACCCCCAGTTCTCGTATATCTGAAGAGCAGGACCGGCCCGCACTACCTACTTACTAGGAAGGCCAATGGCAAGTGGACTGGAGCTGCCACCTGGGCGGGTAGAGCCTTTAGCAGAGCACAAAATCTGTGATGAAAAGAAGATTGAATAACGGTGTATGAGAAATGAGCACAGGAGAATCTTTATTGAAGTTATATGGTTAAAATGCATCGTTTCACATGAAATACTATGAGTTTGTAGTTTGATTGTCAGAGCTACTTAGGCTCTGAGAGACATTCAAAAAAAGCCAGTTAAAAGGAGGAGATTATACAAAATAGCTTTATGAGAGCACACCACAGAATAAATGAAATGAGAAAAAAGAGTATGTCCTTTGCACATTACCTCCTGTTGCTTGTTGTTAGTGTTCAGAGATCCTTTTATAAAGCTGGAAATCATTTGTTATTGTTGCTGTCAAGCTGTTCCACCTTTCCTTATTGACGTTGCCTTGTAGCACATCCTCCCAGCCCTGTCAGCTGTGTTGAAACCATCCCAGTCCCTCATTAGTAAGGATCCAACACTCCTGTCTATGTTGGAGGCAGACGCTGTGTGCTGCTGCCGTCTCCTAGTGCCTTAACATGACCAGAGTCTCTTTCAGGAGCAGCGTAATAGATTGTACATTTAAATGGGCTTGCAGCACTTAACCCTTTGACTCTGAAGATACTTGGCTTATCACTATTATTTGTAGATATGTTATAAATACTAGCAAATGTCTAACTTCAATTTGCTTTCTAACTCAGAGTATAGATTTACTTTAGCTAGAGGCTGCACATTTTAGGGCTTTGACTGAATGAGCTTTTTATGTACATATAGAGTGATTTGATATTTTGATAATCGATTTCTATTCACTATAGTACTTAATTCATAACAGTATTGTCACTGTTTACTGTAACTGCAATACAATCTAGATGGCCTCTGGGTTGCTGTGTTTTTATTTTTGTGCATTTAGGCTAGTCCTGCATTAACCCATTATACGTTTTGGGAGTGGCATAGACTAAGATAGATTATATTGTTTTATGTTTTTACTTTAATGCTTCAGTGTTTAAATACTATTGATTAACAGTATCATTGCTGGGCTTTTGAGTATTAGAGGTGTATTGGTAATCGTTTCATATTGTGTGAGACAGAGCTTTTGTCTGTGTATTAAACCTGCCGTCAGTTTTGATACATTCCTTCAGGGTGGAAGCATAGCCTTGTGTGTAGTGTAGTGTCTTTACCTGTTGTTGTAAATCCGCTAGTATTTGACTCCAATCAGCACCAAAGACTGTTCATGAATCATTTCTGACGCATGGTCAATACTATTTCCTCTCTCACCTCCTAGCATACTGTTGCAGTTATCAGCATTGGAATATATCGTATGTTTTCTCTCTTTTTAAAACTGACTTGTCTGGGTTTTATTTTCTGAGCTATGTTTGGCAAAATGTATTTGGAATGTATTGATACTAAGCTGCTATGTACTGATGATCTGCCACTTCTTAGCTGTGAATTTAGAGGATTAATCTCTTAACTAGTCTGCATTCTCTTTGTATTGTACTCGTTATGATAAAATACAGTAGGAGTGGGTTTTATTTTGATTATACCGTATAGTGAATGCTATTCCTATGCTAGTGCCTCTGTATATTAGCTTTGTTGTTTTGAAGTGATTGTAACTGCTGTAATGGAAGTTTTCATTTTTATTTTCATGTCGCTTTTTTGGTGTGTGTGAATTTTATGTGTGCATTTAGCATCAGTATTTCTCCAAAAATCTAGACTGGGTTCAATTATGGATTCTGTAAACGGTATGTCATAGATGTATTTTAGTTTGATTCTGAACACAGCTTTTTCCGTTCTCCGACTGTATTTGCAACTCTTTGTACTGTACAACTAGTGCCTTCCTCTAAAACAAAATGGCTGTCACATAATGTTTAACTTAGTGGGTTAGGTATTTGTGACTAGTTCCTCTCTAGGGGAATCCGTTATTTTTTTCATTAAATGACCCAGGCAAAGTTTGTTAGTAGACTTAAAATGTGCTCTGATATAAAATTAACATGAAAAAAATCACAGAATCCTAAAATAGTAAAGTCAGGGATTTGTCCTCACCAAGAACACTGCACAGTACTCAAAATGTAGGGCCTGCTCAAAGTCAAATTCAAAGCTTTATTTACATTTGAATGTATCGTAGAACTCAAATATAGTTTTTTTTTTTTTTTTTTTTTTTTTTTTTTTTTTTTGCATTTTAATGGCTTCAAAGCAGTTTCTGCAATTTCTGTCATTTGTGATTTGTTCATTGTTAGTAGTTATTATCATAGTAGAAATCATGAGTTTAAGTCAGGGCTTTCCTTTAAATGCTTTATCTGTCATCAATCATATTCAAAGTTTAGGTCCAAAGTTGATTGCTTCTTGTCTGATCAATTATTTTGTAATGATTTTGGCTTTGTTATGTAAGCATATAAGTATATTTTGTGTACTTGACTTGCTACTGTGTTGACGATCTTAGTGGATAGTACTCTCTACTTCACATTAATGAAAAAGTGTAACCTTGTGTTGTGCAGCCTCACTCACAGTTGTTTTCCATACGTTTCTATTGCTGTCAGCTCAGCACCTGCGATGAGATTGTCCCACCTCAGTGCTGGTAATCCCCCACCACTTTGTCTTGATTGAATTGGACAGATAATCTACCTTGCAGCCTTATGTTGACAGAACAAAATTCACCCGGGGTTATGGAGTCCAGCAGCCTTTAATATCAGGCCTAAAGAGAACCAGTGTACATCCCTAAAAAAGTATGCAATTCTAAGTGTGCCTTTACATGGTGGTAGGAATCCTTTGGCTAAAAGAAAGTACATTGTTAAATATATGGAGCTTTAGGCCTGTTGCTTATCGGCATCCCCCATCCCAAATGGTAAAAGGGTTGTTTCATTGAGGTACTGGGCTGAATAAAATGTATGATTTAAAATTTCTTTGTATCACAATTATCACAATGTTGAGTTGTACTAGACAAATTATATACAGTTGGTAAATAGAAACGTTACTGTTCTAAATACGTGTAGTTTCGTGTGGCTTATAATTTTGTTTTTGATTTCTTAAGTGCTACACTAGTTTGACATGTAGCAACTGCACTGTGCAATATTCAACAATATGAGGACTGGGAAATGATTATTGTTTGGATGTAATAATGTGTGTCTTACCAGTTTGCGGTTGTTTTCTTCCCCCTCTGGTTCTCAGTGAGTTTCGATGTGACCAAGCCTTATGTACTTTGTCACAAAAAGCGGGTTCCTTCTTGGTGACTCTTATTGGTTAGTGTCAAATTATGAATTGATGGCGTACTATGTCAAGATTCACTTTGAATTAAAAAGGATCTTTTGCTTCAGTCATTGTGTTTGTGTCATTTATAATTCAAACTGTCTCTGATATTTATAGTACAGAGTTGATTATATTTACATAGTGTATATTTATAACCCCTGTACTAAAACAAGAACAGTGTCCACAGTTACACTATTTGAACAATGGTGGTTATGAAACTGTAAGCTTCCTGGCCTTCTTCTATATTTTATCTCTTTAAACTAAATTATTAAAAGTTTTTCCAGTTAACGTTAACGTGTCTTGTTTTCAGACACCGATCTAACCGGATTTGATTAAAAATACTAGACTCCGGTGCTAAATAGGTGCAGGAAGCCCATTGGTTTTACACCAGGGGGCGCAGTTTCTCTCTTAACACGTGTCACTTTTTCATCTTCGCTCAAACTCATTTACCCATGGATTTATTACAAAAATCAGCCCGATTATTTTGCGTGACTCACTGTCGTTATTTGCAAAACTGAATTTCCATCCCTCCGCACGCAGTCTGCGTCGAAGAGATTTGATTTCCATGATCCATCTGCACATCAGAGGAAGACTGAGTGTGACCTGCAGTCAACATGGGATCGAAAAACTTTTTGTAAGTTCAAAATTCTTCTGCACATCTTATGAAGGCTCCACACATTTATTTGTATGACTGTGAGCGTTTAGAATTTTAATAGTAGCTATAGATTCTTATAGGCTCAAAGCGTAGGGTGACCAGATTTTCAAAATAAAAAACTGGGACACTGTTGGTTTGTGGTGGTTTGTAATAATAAACTTGTGAATCGAGTGCACACTTAAGCAAAATAGTTCTGCACTCGACCCATTCACGACCAACACTTGTCAGTATAGTCACATTTTCTTTGTGTTTTGGTCATTTTTAAGCAGCTTTTCTGTATTTTACCTAAACAAATAACAATGTATGCCTCTCTTTACTGTTGGCAGGTAAAATGGTTAAAAATAGGGACTGCAGGGACATTAATTATATAAAACTGGGACAAATCAATGGTTTTAGATAGATCCACATGGCTCAAAACTGGGACCGTCCCGGGTAAATAGGGACGTCTGGTCACCCTATCAGAGCGACAGATCAGTATAGGCTTAAAAATAAAATGTGTAGCTTTAACTGTCAGTGTGTTTTACTTATGACTACCAAATGACCCAAATAACCCTACTTGTTAGTCTAGACTTGGGTATGATTTATTTATTTGTCTCAGATCCGTGGCTTTATATTGAAGTCTGCGCTTGTGGTTTCCGGAAATGTGTTCGCCTTGACGCAGAGATGGAGCGCGCTTTCGCCTTGCGGTCGCAGTAGGACTTTTCAGACAGAGACACGGTAAGACGCGCTTAGATACACAGCAGCTCTTTGTTTTCAATCACCCCAGCAGCCCTTAGCCTCTCATGGCGAGCCCAGCCGTGACTGTCCACAGCGGGCTCATCTCGGTCGGATGCCTTTCTCCAGCTCAGCGCCTTTAGATGTTCTCCAGCCAGGATCATAGACTGTGCATGGTCAGGATTAACGAGTGACCGATGGCTCCAAAACACGCGCTCCTGTCCGGGGTCGGAGGGCTTCATTTTAAAGACCACCCCTGCTCTTTCTTCCCGATAGCCGCAGCAGCATGGATCCGCACCTCTGGATCTAGGAGCAGCAGGAGGAGCGGGGCGCAGAGGGAGGACGGGATGCTGGCGCGGAGGACTGCGACTGTGTGCGCGGTGCTGATGCTGGTGATGCAGGGCTCCTCGGCCGCTGAAGGTAAGACTGTCGAGCTGGCCAACCTGTAAGAGTGGACCTTAAAAACAATATTCCAGACTGAAATTTTCTCACACAAATATACTGAATACCTACACTTGTCTACAGCCCTCACATATTTTACTGCCTTTTGCCCTTTAGTGTCTAAACATTTGCCTCTCTATGATTAGCTCAATGAGTGGATGTGCAGAGGAATTTAACAGCCAGCATGAATTATTAACATCTAAATCCCAGCTGTTTTAAGGTCTACTTTGTTTGCTTATGGTGATTGACTGTGACATGATTCTGTTCTGTAGTCATCGCCCTATTTCACACATAGGCTACTGATAGTATTCATTTTGATTTGAGGCACTATACTCAGCAGTGCTTTAATGCTATAGTCTACCATAAGTTACAAACACCTCAGTAAAGCAGCCAGAAAGATTAAAATGCTGTATCTGTATCAAAAAAGTCGACTTTATCCTGATCCTTTACAACCTCACCCCAGAAAACCAGTTCAGTTGCTTTAGTTTCATTGCATTTTTCATTCCTGTGTGTACTACAAGGGTTTGAACTCCAACTCACAAGGGAGGACCAACATTTAGCTCATACAAATTATTTATTTATTCCGCTCCTTTATGGAAAACAATGCCTCACTGGAGAATTCTTTCTTGAGGGCAGATGTAACGTTGTGCAACTTTAGGTTAGGCCTATAGTATCGTGAAAGTCTTTGAATAATAGTTAACGGAAGTGAATGTTGGCCTCATGAATAATAATGAAACCAAACATGATACATTTTTTGGTGCAGTTTTTTTTGTTGGTTATGTAGCAGAAATCTTAAATGCACATATGTTTGGATATTTTTAAGAACAATCTAAAATTGAACTGATACCGAGATACTAATCAATACTAAAACTGGAATTGAATCTTAATACGATTTGAATGCTCAATGCTTAAAATACCAAAACTGTATCAGATCACATGGAAATCTGAAAGGAACAACTCATTATTATTATTATTTTGTGCTGATACTGTAGTCTATTGTCCAATAATATATTCATGATTATTGCGGTATCAAAACATGTATCAAGTATCGAGCCTTATTCTTAGTATCAGCATTTTTTAAGTTGTTTGAATTGTCGGTTTTCAGATTTTAAAATGGGATATCACTGCATTTTGACATGAAATATCCAAAAGGTAAATTCACAAATGTTGACCTGATCATGTCTATTATTGACTAAACCCCAAAACTCACTGGATTACAATAAAAATCTGCTTTTAAACAGAATTAATTTCCCTTGACCTCCATTTAACATTTAACATTATTGACCTATAGAATGTAATGTTGTCATGTGAAATCCAGCAGTATTATTACACTAGGATGGTGGTCTATTCAATGAACTAAAGATGAAGAACTTCTGATTTTTAGTTTTTTCATAAATATAAATTGAAGATATTTTAAGCCAATTATTCATTTTGTTGCTAAATGAAATATTGTTGCTATTATTATGTTATATATATATAATTAAGTAAAAGTATGTTTCTCATTTAGAAGGTTTGAAGGTGCACTTTGTAACTTTTTGGTTGAGGGTCCGTCACCTGCTTGTTTCTATGGATATGTCATTGCTCTGCCTGGAATGTTCCACAGTATAACATTAACACTCTGCTTTACATTTATTGAATTACAGGTGGTTTTACAGCTCAGAAATACTTAAAAAAAAAAAAAAACAGGAATTCTGACTGTGAGTGGGGTTACCTCTCCACAGATCTGACCTTTAACTTAGAGTGGTTTGGTCTCCATGAAAATAGAAAGGTTCAATTCCATATTGTGAAACATTCCAGACAAAGGGATAACATTTCCATGGAGAAAAGTAACTGATGGACACCCAACCAGAAAGTTATATAGTGCACTTTTAAACCTTCTAAATGAGAAACATACTGTTACTTAATTATATATCGCATAATAATTGCAGCAACATTTAGTTTAGCAACAAAATTAATAACTGTATTAAAATATCTGCAAATTATATGTATGAAAAAACAAAAAATGTAATGTCATAAAGTCAGAAGGTCTTCGTCTTGAGCTCATTACTTGATACTCAATTCACGTTTTGATTCCAGACAAAGCAATAACATCTCCACGGAGAAAAGCATTTGACGGACCCTCCACCAGAAAAATTACACAGTACACTTTAACTTAAGTCAGACATTTAATAATATAATATTTTTGGCTCTGAATCAATTACTTGAAAACGTTGCCAAGTACAAAGAGGGCACTTCTTCCTCTTCAGTGCTTGGATGATTAGCTGAAAATGAACACACACAGATTGACCTTAATAGTTTGTCAAAGACCATCTGGCCACATGAGAAGACGTGGTCACTTTAGACTGAGTTCCTGCCAGTACTGTAGTGACCCACACTTAGTCACTACAAATATAACATCATACAGACAAAGCTTTTATTTATATTTATATTTATACTTATATTTTATAGCTGTGTATTCAGATGGGCTCCACAGGGAAGATCTGATCTCAGGACACTGTGTTCCTTGGTACCAGGCCTAATGTACACGGTGTCTTAAAGGGCCTCTACATTTTCAATAATCAATACAGACAATTAGTTGGTGGTAGTCCTGTGTGCTGAGGAGTGTGCACTGTTTTATACTAAGAATATTAAAGAGAATATTGTTGTGTAATAAAGAGGTGGACTTGAACAGTTAAAGGGTCAAGGTATCTATCGCACATAAACAGAATTCAGACGAAAAACAATAGCTTACCTGGCATCTTCTGAATGTGTAGTAGTTTATTTCAACCAGTATTCTTATTTTTTCCATAATTCTGGTATATCTGGTTATTTATTCTTGACTTTAGAGTTGCCCATAAGTAAGCCTGTCACGATAACTACATTTGAAGCACAATATATTGCTACAGAGAAACTACTTTCTGCCACTGACACAATGAGAATAAAGTAAAATAATCCCAGTAAAGCATTATTTAAATAAACAGTCTCATTAAAAAGCCTGAGTTGCAACAAATAAATAAGAGATTGAAGCAATAATTAGCCACAGAAGTAATTTATTCAACCCTGTGCAGCTCTCATCGTCACATATTACAACAAAAATAACCAAACTCTCCCCATTTATATGAAGAATTTTTACACAGGATAAATATTGAGCTCTAAAATATTGTCCCAGGTATCATATTAAATGATAAGTCAATATAATAATTATCATGACAGACCTACCAATAAGATCCATACCTTGATACAAAATAATAAATACTAAAATTAGTTTTGGTTCTAGT